GTGCTCTTTAAACGTGACAATTTTTTAATGGAAAGAAAGTTCACTGGAAGCCCTTGGGCTGCTTGGCTGAAATGTAAAAGTTTCTGTGCATCTAGCCCAGGGGTGGCCAACCCTGTTCCTGGAGAGCCACCTTCCTGCAGATTTCAGTTGCTACCCATATCAAACACACCTGAACCAACTAATTAGGACCTGAACACTACGTGATAATTACTGGCAGGTGTGTTTGATATGGGTTGCAACTGAAATCTGCAGGAAGGTGGCTCTCCAGGAACAGAATTGGCCACCCCTGATCTAGCCCATTATCCATTGTGATATCAATGCTCAAACGGTATATTGTGCAGCCCTAATATACGTGTTGGTTAGGGATGCAACGAAAATAAAATTCTAGACTGAAACTGAAAAATCTAGACTCCCTCGGCCGAAGATTTGTCATTTGGTTTGCAATAATTATTCATATTAATAAATAATATAATTCTGTAAGGCGTTTTAAAATGTAAGTCAACTTAAATTATACTGATTATAACCATAGACTGTAAAATATATGGACGTAGCATCCGTGACGGAGATTCAGACACCTGCTGTCATATTGCTTGGACCTGGCTCAGACACACTTTACTTTGGGAGAAATGCTTAATACTTTATCACTTGTGACTTGTTTGTATTCTGACCACTTGTGCTTGGTTGTATACTATATCAATAAAGTGTTTAGCCTTTTAAAAACACTGCTGTAATACATTGAGCCACTAAACATTGTTCTTATGACGTTTTTCAACAGGAGGAAAACGCAAATTACTTCCAAACATTTTAGATATAGTCTGTGTTAGTTAATGTAGGACTATTGATGAAATCCAGCATAACACTGTATGGCAACGCATCAGATGACAGTTCTAGAGCCTACAGCTAATCAATCTGACAGATTCTGGAGTGCATTACAGCTCTAAATATAAACGATAAATGATCGTAAATAAAACAAATACATGTATAGAGATGGTATATAAGTATATATCTTTACTCACATGGGAAACGGAGGCCACGTGAATGGTTTGTAAGCACAATTAAGTGCACTCAGTATGTCATGCCATCTAATAATTGTAGGAAACTAGTCCAAAAGGCAGTTGACAGTGTAAAGCCACATAAAACAACACAGAAATATGATAAATATGCCGAGTTCAGTGGCTAATCTGCAGGATTCAGCTGAGGTGACGTGACGGTGACCAACGAGACCTAGCTGTCATTTAAGTGGCCACGCCCTTAATTATGCAAACTTAATATAACTTAATATAAAGGAAACGGACGAGTTATAAAAAAAAATTCACCCCGCTCACAGTTCATGAAGGGTAATATTAGCTGTATTAACCAAAATCTTTTTTTGTACCAGGCTGTAAACACCTTTTTTTCTGCTGTAAAGTTGGCCATTCTTACAGTGGGCTCAATTAAAAATTGCAGTTTTAGTTACTTCCGTATTGGCTTCCTGAGGGAGAGCGGGAGGTTGCCGCTTGATTTCAACAAACACAAGCCAAAAAATAACCACAATTGTGACCCTGGAACACAAAACCAGCCTCATGTTACAGGACGATATTTCTGGCATTATGTAATATGTAAAGGCATTATGTAATCATGTCCAGCACTTTAAATTACCATTGTGTATGTGATTGGCCTTGCCTTGTCTAATCTTTAAACAAAATAACTTCCTTCACTTTCAGATTAAGAGACAGAGAAAAATGTGTCATCAAGATTCAACACTTTAACACACCTTTGCCTTTGGTTTCTCCTCTTCTTTGGGCTCTTGGTTTTTGTTCCCCTGCTGTTTCCTGTCCTCTTGAAGAGGTTGAAACTTGGGTCGTGTTTTCTGTTTCTCCTCCTGCATCTTCTGGCTGAAGCCCTCTGGTAGTTCATCTTCATTTACGAAAAACAAAAGGAGGGTTTAGGCTGATGATCGGATTATATTGATGAGCAGATTATGAATTTACAGCTATAAATGTAATCTTTTACCATCTCTGAGGTTAAGACAGAGCCAGTCGAGGGCAGAGTGCAGATCTCCTCCGTACAGCACACTGCTCTTCATGGCCTCCTCGATGTGCTCCGTCTTAAACTGGAACTTCTGCAGGGCTGTGTACAAATCCTGCCAGGCAACAGACCATATCCGGGTTTTTATAATATTCTTGGGTAATAAATTATTTTAATTGATTGATTGATTGCTATTAAAGGTGAAATTGAAATGAATTACCAGTAGCTTTTTGGAGGTGAGTCTCCCGGATATAGGCCCTTTATCTGCATATTCTTGTCTGTAATCGTTGATCAACTTGATCACCTTCTTCTCCAGTTCTGGTTGGATAATAACCTTCAAGACGTGGAAAAATAAAATAAATAAATACATTTTTAATTTAAAACTAATATTTCCAGTAAGAAAAGTAATACTGTCAAAATAGTATTATTAATAGCAATAAATGTGAAATATTATTACTAATGTCACAATTATTTGCATTTCATCTGATGCTTATTAAGAGATGGTAATTTATTTATGTGGAAAACTTGGAAGACTTTTTAATATGTGATAATTTGCTGAATTAAAATTGACATAATTATAAGATAAAATATTGTTTTGACGGCAATAATGAAAATCCTATTGAATCTATTTAAGATTGTATTCAAGTCTAAATATATTTATTTAAGATAATATTTTTATTTATTATCCATGTAAAATTTGACTCCACATAAGATATGAAAAAAGAACACAAATAAATGTATAAATAGTAAAAACAATTAAATTGCAAATGTAAAATTCTTTGTTTAGTCAACCAATTCCAGATTTGGGACATTTATTTAAATTAAAGACCCAAAGACTTTTTTTTTCACATGATCCTAAATCGAGGCGACGCAGTAGGTATTGCTGTCGCCTCACAGCAAGAAGGTCGCTGGTTCGAGCCTCGGCTGAGTCAGTTGGCATTTCTGTGTGGAGTTTGCATGTTCTCCATGTGTTCGCGTGGGTTTCCTCCAGATGCTCTGGTTTTCCTCACTGTCCAAAGACATGTGATACAGGTGAATTGGGTAGGCTAAATTGTCAGTAGTATATGAGTGTGAATGGGTGTGTATGGATGTTTCCCAGAGATGGGTTGCAGCTGGATCCGCTGCGTGAAACATATGCTGGATAAGTTGGCGGTTCATTCCGCTGTGGTGACCCCGGATTAATAAAGCGACTAAGCCAAAAAGAAAATGAATGAATCAATGATCCTAATTCATTCTAATACTCTGATTTGCTCCTCAAAAAACATTTTATTCATTCAATAATTTTATTTTTATTTTATTACTTTCAATGGGGTTTTAACAAACATAAGAAAGATTAAAAGTGAATAAAATGTCTGGTTCAGTGTTTTTTTTTTTATTTTTTTTATTTAAAAGGTCAAAATATGAGTGAAATAATAGAATCCTTCAGGTACATTCAAAACCAACTGTACTTATTTTTCTAACCCGTATGATTTAAAAAAAAAAGTTTTGATTTTACTGCAAATGTCACATCCATAATGCTGGAATTGGTCTTATATAAATGCATTGTACTATAATATTTGCATACAAAACAATAAAAACTAGTGGTTAGTGGACAATAGCATAGCATAAAGTTATTAAATGACAATTCATTAGTATTTTGGAGCTACAGTGTGATCCCTAAATAAAGTATTTTATTTGCATAAAATTTTAAATAAGTGACAAGATTTTTTGCCATATGAACTATTGGTATACTGAATGACAATTTACTTTGCATCTTCTATAAAACATATCAAGGAAAAACCATGAATGGTTATGACTCACCTTCAGGATTGATTTATCAGATCCACTGTTTGTGTCAGTCTGTGCATTCGCGTTAAGACCGTATGTTTTGGGAGCTTCAAAATAAAAAAAGAAAACATAAAATTCTGATTCATTTAATTCAAATCAATTGATTCACTGCATCTGATTTGAGTCTTCAATGTTTATTTGAGTCGTAAGAATCAAACTCCTCAGGCAATAAGTAATGCAAGTTGTCAAATGAAGTCTGACCTCTGGGTTTGTTTTCTTTAGAGGTTGTTTTCTCGTTATTTGGTCTCTGCTGCTGTTGTTTTTTACCGGTGGATTCAGACGCTGCATTGGTTGCAGTAACAGCAGCAGCAGCAGCCGGTTGAGCACTCGATGAAACTGCAGCAGACTTCTTTTTCTTTCCACCCATAGCGAAAACAATCAGCTTACCTGTCTGTTACTGACCAATACAATCCACATTTCTGTAAATAAAACTGTTTAGGTGAAAAATGATAAAGCAGAGTGTGCTCACTAAAGCCAACTGTACTCAAACCTGTCAAACCTGTGAACCATGAAACTACAGATGCTGCTTTCAAAATAAGAGTTCAGCGAAAACTGTTGGATGAATTTTTTTTGTTGACCTTTCGAGACGTTTTTTACTGTTTTTTTATGTTGGCATTATAACCAATTAAAAAAAATTGCAGTTTTATTGCAGAACAAACTTCACAAACAGCTGTAAAATGATAAAAACAAACTGAACATATTATATGCAATATTAAAATAGAATCTACATAAAATGAATAAATATGCATGATACATGAACAATAAAGCATATTAAAAAATATATATATATATAAACAGTACATGTACGTTTATATCGATTTATTACTAACAGATAATGAATAATAATTAAATTCAAAATCATTGTATAAATCCAAAAAGATGCATTTTAATTATTACATTGATATTATCCTAATAGCTTGTGTAATAGAACAAGTCAGCTTTATCTGTTCATTTGTAAACATAAAAATTAGAAATTGAGAATTATTTAATGAAGAGTAATTAACTTCCAAACTTAAAAACACAACGGTTATTCTTTAAATTAATATATATTTTGAATGTTTGGTTTAATCCTATGGGTTTAATCACTTGGACTTTTACCATAGCCTATTTTACACGATCATTCGGCCGCACATCATTTCCGGCACGCGGCCTGCGCATCGCACTCTGGGATTTGTGTCTGTTTGAAGACATGGCGGACGCCTTTGGAGACGATTTGTTCAGCGTGTTTGATGAAGAACAGGCCGGTTCCAGCAAAAAGGCCGCTCCAAAGTCCGCAGCTAATGCAGGGTAGGTGAACGGTCGCGAATTCGGTATGATTTGCAGAACAGAGCTACAGTTATTGCAGTTTCCTCTGGTTACACTAAACACATGTGACGCGCACTCAGAGATCAATAAACGCAAGAGAATCATAAAAAGTCATTTGCTTCTACCTTTTATTCGTTGGAAGATAAGAGTTGGATGAGTTTTCTTTCGTTTGTGATGCTTCAAAGCGCTTATATAAACGTGCTTCCCCAACATCCTACATTGACATAAGGCAATACCATAATATGACCATTCAATCAAACGTAAGCACAAACATATCTGATTTGCTTATTATTTGTCTGTCTATCAATATGTTTCACTCTACATTTGTTCATTTGTCTTTTTATGTGTATAGTTTCTGTTTGTCTGTCTATCACATGTAAAGAGACAGTTCAGTCAAGAATGGAAATCCCACAATCTTTTTCTAAATCTTTATTTTTTTCTGTTAAACCCCGAAGAAGATGGTTTAAAGAATGTTGGAAAGTATCCGCCATTAGCTTCCATAGTATTATATAATCCCTTCTGTAGTATTATACAGTCCCAAACAGTTTTGGAGCAACATGAGGGTGAGTAAACAGTAAGTTTTCTGTTTTGGGTGAACTATCGCTTTAACATGGAAAATGTTTGAAGACTATCCAGAATGTCCTACTGACTGATTTGTTCTGGTTTAGTTGAGCACTGAGTGGACATCGAGTGAGACTTTCGTTATATTTTATGTAATAGGAAAACGCCTGATAAAGCTGGCAAACCACAGGGAGATTCAGCATCTTTGCGCAAAAGAGATGCTGATGATGATGGTCCTGATGAGATGCTGCTGGGGAAAAGGCAAAAGCTGGAAACGGTGTCAGCGGAGGAGATCAAGTAAGTTTAGTTTACTTCTGAAATTCATCATATGGCCCATTTACACTTAGTAATAAGGTTTAGTGTGCTTTTATGGCCGTTTACACTGTCAAAAGGTACCTAAAAGTGAACCGTACCGCACCACTTTTTTGGCCCGTTTCCACTGAGTGGTACGGTACAGTATGGTTTGGTTTGGTACGCTATTATGGCCGTTACCACTGTCAAAAGGCGTACCGAACCAAACCCTACCGTTCCACTTTTTCGGGACCCTTTCGAAAGGGTCCCAAACTGCAGAAAGGGTCCCAAAAGGTGGAGCTACACGCGCAGCTGAACGCTATTGGTTTACAGAGATGCGTCATTCATAGACTCAACAAGCCAGAATGTAAACAAAGGACCCGCCATGTTTCAAATACACAGCGAGAGATTACAGCGGAATTATAAATACATATGCAACCATGGTCGATCCTGCAAACAAACCCTGTCGTCGTCATGATAAAAAGCCACATAGCCATGGAGAAGAGCAGATTCACCCTGTGCCGCGTTGTTTTTAACGAGCCAGTCTGAAGCCCGAGTGGTTTCACTTTCTTTCTTGTGCTCGCCGCCCATCTCTATCTGAAATAACAAACTTCTTGATCTGATAATAATAGCATGCATTTGATTATTGACAAGCTTTGGAAACCCGATCCTGTGAGAAGCTGACAAACGCGAGAGTGACATATTCAGAAAGAAAAGGACAATCGCGAGAGTGGAGCACAAGAAAAAAGCCGAATCCAAGGAGCACGTTATTTCCTCAGCAAACGTGAACAAACTGCTTTGTTTTAATCTTTATTATCACCTTTTGGACTAATATGAACTAAGAATGACTCTCTAACAGAAGCTTCATGTGCTGCTGAAGATTATAGACTCAGATGAGAGGTTTTCGCTGACTGTAGGCTATACTTTGTGTTGTTTTGAGCCTAATTAACGACGAAATGTCTGCTTTGATTAGTTCTTCTGTAGTTGGTAACATATCGGAGACTGTAAGGGTCTGTATGTGTTCATATATGTTAATTTATTTATTTATTTAATATAATTATATATAATATATTATAATAGACGTTACAGTAGGCTATTTCGCACCGTCATTGATCTGCAGTTATAATCAACTCCTGTTTATAGAAAAGTTATAGAAAAGTTAGTAATAAACATTCCTACACAAGTATTTATGTGTGTAAAGCATCTGCTTTGTGAGAAGTGCTTTTTATATGATATGTGAATGACCTGTGCAGCTTTATTGTAGACATTTTCACGAGCGAAAATGACGTAGACTGAAATTTTGTCATACACCACGCCCACCAAAAGGGTACCCTTGGTAGTGGAAACGCAAGCCTGATAAAGGTGACCCGTACCGACCCGTACCGTACTGTACCAGTCAGTGGAAACAAGCCATTTGGGAACCCTTTTGGAAGGGTACCTAGCACAACAAAAGTGTACCAAAAGGTGGAGCTAGACGTGCAGCTGAACACTATTGGTTTACAGAGATTTGTCTGTTGCGTGTGCACAAGCCAGGAGAATGATTACAAAGGAAGCGCCATTTTTAAATACACCGCTGATAAATTACACTGTAATAATATATACATTTAGTAACGAGCCGAGGTTTACCCGAGCTCAAACAAACTTTGTCTTGATGAGCAGCTACAACGCCATGAAGAAGAGCAGAATCTACCCTGTGCCCTTTTGTTGTTTACAATGCCATCTAAAGTGTGAGTTGTTTCACTTTCCCGCGCTAGCCGCATGTCTATATTTAAAATAACAAACTTCTTAACCTGATGATAATATTGTGCGCGTGATTATTAAAGTGCTTCTGACATCCGATCCTTTCAGAAACAGATAAACGTGAGAGTGAAGTGAAAAAACAAAGGAGAAGTCCGAAAAAACAAATTATTCTTTCAGCAACCAAAAAACATGAACAAACTGTCATGAGGTTACATGTTCTGGTGAAGATTTAAGACACTGTTGAGAGGTTTGCACTGACTGTGAGCTATATTTGTGTTGTTTTTAAACCCAAAAAAGGACTAAATATATGTTGTGTGAGAATGACATCGACTGAAACTTTCCACTCCCCATTGGTACCCTTTTGGCTGTGGAAGCGCAAGCCTGATAAAGGTGACCTGTACCGACCCGTACCGTACTGGACCACTCAGTGAAAACAGGCCAATAGTGTATTAACTTGACACTTAGGCTATACTGGTTAAAATGAAAGTAGAAGGTGCTTTTGAAACTATCTGCTATTAAAGTAAATCAATGTTGATTGTTTTATTTATTTTAATAATGACTTTAAATGGTGTTGGATGTTTACAAAGGGGCCATCTTCATCAATTATTTTACCACCTCCACCTTTTGGCAAAAATCCGACAAGCTGTCACAGCTACCAAATGACCCTAAGTTGTCGGGGTTGTGTATTAAATTTTATTTAATGTTAGTCTTTTTAAATAAGATCATGTTTTACTTGGTAAGATTACAACAATGATGCTTAATAGTTTCAAGGAGCAGAAATCGAATGATGAGGATACCTCCGCCTCAGTTTGAGCCAATAAAAGCCCAGTGAAAAGAAACCAAATGGAAAAAAGTGTTTTAAGTGATGAAGTATATACTAAATATCTTTGTCCATCTAAATATCTTAGTCATCTCTGTCCACTTTGTAAAGTGTTTTTTTCTTCTTCATAAAACAAGTTTTTCTTAAGTTAATTCTCATGAGAGATTTGTTTAATTTTATTTTTATGAAGTACATGAGCTAAAATGCTAAAAACATGGTAAAATGTAATAAAAATTAGCATTGTCTTCACTGCAGTTGCAGCCATGTTTTTTTTTTTACTTATACAGAATTTTAACACCATTGCAGAATATTTTAATCATGACAGTGATTTGATCATTATTATTACTTGCATCTTTATATTGTTACATGTACAGTGTTAAGTTTTGTAAAGCATGATTTATTTTTAAGTGTATTTGTTGGCCAGTTGTGTTCAATGGAATAAATATTAATATATAAATGTTTTCAAGTTTTAAAACCATTTATTATGTTTTATTGTTCCACTATAGAAATTGTATTTACAATAAAATATTATATTTGATAGTTGTCTCTCATATTGTCCCACCGCAGCATTAATTTATGGAATAGAATACTTTGTCTGAAAATAATAGTTTATTCAGTTTAGTTCCCTACCCCCTAATAAACACAATAGTTACTTTCCCAGGTTTCTTTTATAATGATGTAAATAAATTTCTTACTCTTTTGCTTTCCATGAAAAGTAACGATAATTAATTACTTTTTAAAAGTAACATGCCCAACACTGCTTCTGACCTCTAGTAACTTGTACCTTTACAACTTTGTCATTCTCCAGTCTGTCAGAGCTTATGCCGAAAGTGAAATCAGAGCAGGTGGAGACAGTGGAGGGCTGCACTCATGAGGTAAACACACAGACAATAAAAAGTAAATCCCTCTGTCAGGTCTATGTGGTGACCATGTTTTCCTGTCTCAGGTGGTTCTTCCTGCCAATGAGGAATACACTCCGCTGAAACCACGTGTTGGAAAAGCTGCCAAGGTGATTTGAACTACTCAGAGCTCTATTTGTCTATCCTTAAGTTTTCCCTTTAATTTAAACATGGTTTTCTTTCCTCATGCAGGAGTATCCCTTCATACTCGACCCTTTCCAGCGCGAGGCCATCCTGTGCATCGATAACAACCAGTCTGTGCTTGTGTCGGCCCACACGTCAGCAGGAAAGACCGTGTGTGCCGAGTGAGTGTCCTTAAACTGAAATGCTGTCTTAGCTGTGCAGCCATGCAATAGTATTTTACATCTTAAGTCTTTACATTTAATTACAAAGCAATTTATACAATGGAGATTGTCAAAGTCACTTTACAAGGATGAGCTGAATGAATGTTGTTGCATGCTGGCTCAGGCATGCAGCGAATCAAGAAGAGAACCGAATCAAATAATAATTGAAAAAAAAAAAAAAGATAAATTGGTAAGAAGAAGATACCACATTCGGTAAAAAAAAGATATTTATTTAAAGGTTGCAAAAAATAATATAAAAGATTAAAGGAACACAAATATTACTTGTATTAAATTTAAATGTCCAACATAACATATGGTTCAAAATAAGAACAAATAACTTAAGATCAAATTGCAACATAAACAAAAAATAATAGAATCAGAGGGTACGCAAAAAAAAGTGGATCTTAAATGATCCACAGAAGCAGTCTACTGGAACACATTTTTGCAGCTCCTTAAAGGGCCATGAAACCCCCTCGTTTCAGCAGGGTGTTTTCACACCTCTACTTTGGAAAAAGTCAGAAAAGTGGGCGTGTCCAGCTCTGTTTAGGGGGGAGTGTCGGAGGAAGAAAAGTGGGATGGTGTAGGAGTGTCTATTTGGGCACGCGCGAGTTTCAGAGTCAAAATACACACACAGGAGAAAGTGATGGTGTTTAACCTACACGGACATCTGTAGTCAAATTATTTGCCAAATTATTAAATGGTGGACTGTAACTGCAGTTTGGGTCTTTCATTTAGGGAATTCATTCATGCCCCTCGTGACAAACGAGATATTTGATTCGAGGAACTGCTCTAAGCGTGTATTTTTCATGAAATGTTTGATACCGCACGGCGAATGAGAGAAAAAAAAACCTCTGCATTTCCCGGAAACTTAGATGCACACAGCAGGTAGCGTCAAAAAGCCGAGTGTGTTATTCCGGTCACTAAATGCGGTGAAAACCCTACACGAGGTTAAAGTTTGGTTGTGGTGCTAACATGTTTACACTCGGTGCAATAGTTTGTTTGATACGAATAAAATAAGAACTGAATAAACAAAGAGCATTGGTCGCTCACCTACCAAATCTGTAGAGACAGGACAATCACCAGCAACTAGAGCTGCGTCTTTATTAAGAGAAGACTACAAGCGAATCCGGGTCTCAGCGTTTGCAGTTGAGAACAGCTCTCAGGTAAACAATAATCCTCCTTAGACACGCAAGTTATTGTTGTCGAGCGTCGCGTACACTGTTAATCCTCACGTGACTCCAGCTGAGCTCTCACAGAGAGAAAATGAAAACGAAACTTAACTGCAGCAAACTATAAAAGCAACACTTCCCGCTTGTTTTGCGAATACAACGTGATGTAAGTGTCGTCTAAACACTGTGACAGTAATGAATATTAATGAAGTTGCACAATAGAGCGCGCTGATTGGTTTGAACCAAGCCTTACTCATGCATTAATGCATCACACTGTAAGATGTAATAAGACTCACTCTGGCACAGACGTCCAGTCTGCACGCTGGAATACACGCTATTATGTCATGACCGTGACGCAGCTTCAAAAATTCGTTTCAAACCGGAAGTACGAATTTGCTTGAAATAACGCAAAAACAACCAATTTACACTTTTTAGTGAAATATAGGTGTCCTAATAGTGTTTTTAGCAGTGTGGGACACACATACGACTGTCAACAGCTCAAAAAATGTGTTTTGGTGTTTCGTGACCCTTTAAGTAGGATGTCAAATTAGCCATACCTGCTCATTCTGATGTCCTAATAACAAAAGAAAGGAAAACCTTCCAACCAACCAATTACAAGAATGTAAGTGTCAAATAACATTAAAATTCATATCTTTAAAATTCATATTTTTAATGCCAGACAATAATATGAACCAGTGACAAGACAAAATCAAAAACCTACTTAAAGAATGTTAGCACCGTTTTCATCTGTATACTTGGTTTTATTTAAATTTGTTTAAAACTTGAACAGTTTTTTTTTTTTTTGCCATGACATAGCCAGAGAAGTTGATATGGCAATAAACTCAAAAATCTCTCTCTTTTGTATTTATTTGTGCTATTGTTTGTAATTTTGTTTCTTATTAATCAGTTTAACTTAATATAAGTTGACAAGTAGTTTATTCTCTAATGTATAATTATTAACTAAGAAATTAATTCTTAATTAATTTGTAATTAATCAGCAAAATAAGAAATCATGATTTATATTTTCATTTTGTACCAAAAAAGTATTGTGCATCAATATTTCTTAAGGTGTCATGTTAAAGTTAGAAGTCCTAGTATTGTGACAACACCATTCTGCATTAGAGTCCCAGTGAACCGGAAGATGTGATCATTATTGTTTTAGTACTGTGGTGCAGTTTCTAGAGAAACAGAGTTTTAAATGAGCAAACAGCAGGCGTGGCTTGTTTTTTTTACCGCTGGCTGAATGAATGTAGTAAAGAAGACCTTTCATTCAGAAAGATAGGGAAAGGAGTTTTAGAAGTTATTACACCCTAACAGACACCACCTCCTGCTCACTATTTCTGTTTGTTGTCATAGCTGACAGTAGGAGCAACGTTAGCCATGCCCATTACCTCAAAATCATGTAATCTGGTGAATTAACTGAAAACAAACAGGAAGTGCATTTTCAGATTTCAATTAAAGATTAGAAGGACAAACTTTTTTTTTTTTTTTTTTTTTATGACATGCACAGGTGAATAGTTCACTACAAAACTGGCAATGTGAGCTAAATAAATCATATGGTTAGTTTTGATTGCCCTCTGGGTTTAAATCATTATGAAAAATTGTAAATGATTTCCTCCTTACGCAGGTATGCCATTGCTCTGGCACTCAGAGAAAAGCAGCGTGTCATCTTCACCAGCCCCATCAAAGCTCTGAGCAACCAAAAGTACAGAGAGATGTACGAGGAGTTTCAGGATGTGGGGCTGATGACCGGTGATGTCACTATTAACCCCACTGCTTCCTGTCTGGTCATGACCACAGAGGTGAGATGAAGATCTGTTATCTGCTGGAACATCAACGACTGTTGCTTTTACTTATTGATTGATTTGTTTTGCTGGGGTGTTTGATTTCTTTCAGATTTTGAGGAGCATGCTGTACAGGGGGTCAGAGGTCATGAGGGAGGTGGCATGGGTCATCTTTGATGAGATCCATTACATGAGAGACTCAGGTGGGTTGTGCTTAAGGTGGTCATTTAGGTAATTTCAATGTTGTTCATGGTTATTTTGTCCTGTTTTATTTAAATGTATTAAACTCTGCAGTTATTCTCCTTGAAAAGGTCCTGTTAATTTTCTGGTTCTTTAAAGGTCCTCCTTCAAATACGCAATGTGCTCTGATTGGTTAGCCCCCTCAGCATGTTCTGATTTTCCATTTTGTCCAGAAACGCTAGGATGGAATTTATGTACTGACTTAGAAAATATTTTTGCTGCTTGTTCAAACTGTTTATTTAAAATGAGCAGAAACAAAACATTTCTCGAGATTTTGGGTACGAAACATTTATTAATACGTTTCCTTTTTGGCTTTGTACCTTTATTAATCTGGGGTCGCCACAGCGAAATGAACCACCAACTTATCCAGCACATGTTTTACGCAGCAGATGCCGTTCCAGCTGCAACCCGTCTCTGGGAAACATCCATATAAACTGTTTTAATACACTACAGGCAATTTGGCCTACCCAAATCACCTATACCACATGTGTTTGGACTGTGGGGGAGACCGAGAACTGAACTAATTTTGTTTAGCTTGGAGAATTTCTCTTAAGCTCTTTGTTTGCCAAATACATATCAGAATTGGCGCCTTGTTTAAAAAAACAATTTATTTTTCTGTATGCAGCATTTGGCTGATTTTGTTACCCACGGTTTGTTGTTAGAGTAAATTTTTACCCGCCTACATGGAATAATCATGTCTTTGCAAAAAGCCACATAGGAGCATACAGTACCGACAAACATATCAAAATTATCACCACAGGACTGATTAAACATCACCCAATCTGTACAGTCATAACACTCCTGCAAACAGAGCGCAGATTCATCAGACCAGTCCATGACATTCATTGTCTGTGTTTTCTGCCTTTTTAAACCAGTTTTATATTTGGGGATTAGATGAACACAATTATGATCGGCTGAGCCAAGTGGAGGTAGTGGCAGTGATTTATTTGCATTCTTTACAGATCCATAACAGAGTGGGCTGCTCGATTTTGGGGAAAAATCATAATCACGATTATTTTGGTCATAATTGTAATCACGATTATTTCAAACGATTATTAGTTGAAGTCAAAATTATTAGCACTCCTGAGAAATTTTTTTAAAATAAATATTTCCCAAATTATGTTTAACAGAGCAAGGAACTTTAAGGGCTCTATTTTGACGGTCCATGCGCAGAGCGCAAAACGCAGGGCGCAAACGCTTTCAGGGCGTGTCAGGACGCGTTTTTGCTAATTTAAGGACGGGAAATCTGCCTTACGCCACTGCGCATGGTCTAAAAGGGTTGAGTTTATTTTCTTAATGAGTTATAGGTGTGTTTTGAGAATAAACCAATTAGAATCTCATCTCCCATTCCCTTTAAGAGTCAGCTGCGTCGCGCCAAGAGCGCATTCGCTATTTACAGGACGCAAAGTAAGTCTAAGTGGAAAAAATGAGCATTTCACAAGCAAACAGTTAACAGTTTTTTAACAGAAAACTGTTAAACAGAGCATCTACTGCGTGAGAATGAGAGATAATGGATCACTTTCACTTTCGCTCTTGGATAGGGAAACCTTTACGCACAGACATCAATTAGTCTATAAATAAATAATTTTGTTTGTTAAGCCCAAATATTCGTTTCAAAACTATTTCTAAACTCAGTTCTAATTTCCAGCAAACGAATAAATGAATAATAATAACAAAATGTGCACAAAAACCTGAGTTATATCCTAAAACACATGCTGTGCCCCATATGGTCTAAAACCTGACAGGTGGATAAGTCGAAGCTTGTTTTTAATAAAACAAATATAAATATGGATATAATAAATAATATTGCTAATAATAATAACATTATACAAAAGCAAATTGTTATGAATGAACTGAAAAAGCCTCCCGAGATGAAGAAGACGTAAAAGCAGTGGATTTCATATTTATATAGGCTAGAAAATAATATGTTTTGTAATATTTTAATCCTTTATATTTATATTCTATATTTATTCTTATTATATACTATATATATCCTTAATATTTACATTTTTTCATATGTAAAGATATTTGCCTATTGCTCTCTTGTGCGTATTAAGCAGTGTGTAAGCGAGGCGCAACTCTGTGCCGGAGTTTAGACCGGGTTAGTTTTGGTCTAATAAAAAATCTATTATAGTTTCTCAAAATAGCAATGCTATGAGCATATTCACCAGCAAGCAGCAGATAAACTGACACCCATAACAACGTGAGAAATAAAATCTCCATTGTAGTCAAATTGCACACGAATATATTTAAAATACTATCCCATAAATAATTAAAAAGAGAGCATTGTTTATTGTGACAGGCCTAGTTGGGTTCATCTTTGCATTTTTACAGTGTAGTGATTTTACTAATCCAGGAAGATTCAGAATGAGCTTTATTTGCCAAGTGTGCACAAAAAAATACGGGATTTGTTGTTTTCAGGAGTTTTTGCCACATGAGAGCAGAAAAGACATTGAAATAAGTGAGAAAATAAATAATAAAAAATTAAATATCGGGGTATGTTTTAGACCTTAAAAAGAAAATTCTGTAAAATAAAAATGAACTTAGAATGTTGTAACTTTGAGTATGTTGTTTATTCCAAATTAGCTCATGTTATTAGTTTAATACTTGTAACTACAGTTTAAATGGTGAAATCATAATTAGTGACCCCTTTAATGATTAATCGGCAGAAGTGACCTAAAATGTTGTGAATGTACTTTAGCTATTATTAAATATTTCTGGTTAATGTGATCTGCAGAACGTGGCGTGGTCTGGGAAGAGACCATCATCCTGCTGCCAGATAATGTACACCATGTTTTCCTTTCTGCCACCATTCCTAATGCTAGACAGTTCGCAGAGTGGATTTGTCACCTCCACAAACAGGTTGGTTATTGTTCATTCTGCATTTAATTTTTTCTGATCAAACTGGTGGTTATAATTTAGTAAATGGTCTAAGAATTCTGTCGTCATAAGACTTCTGTTAATCTTCAATGTTCGCTCAAACTCTCCCTCTTCAGAAATGCTCATTAGGATATATAAAAAAGAAAGTACTCATAGTGTTTAAATTTGATTTTATAAAAGGTGTTAGAACCCTGTGGATAAATTGTGGATATGCTTAAATGACTCTTCACTCTTATTAATTAATTGCTTGCTTGGGTACAGTGCTCAGCATAAATGAGTACACCCCTCACAGATCTGTCTTTTAAATTATTATTTTCTTTAGGATGCTTTACGTTCATTCATTTATTTTCTTGTCGGCTTGGTCCCTTTATTAATCTGGGGTCGCCACAGCGGAATGAACTGCCAACTTATCCAGCAAGTTTTAACGCAGCGGATGCCATTCCAGACGCAACCAATCACTGGGAAGCTTCCACACACACATTCACACACACACACTTATACACTAAAGACAATTTAGCCTACCCAATTCCCCTTTACTGCATGTCTTTGGACTGTGGGGGAAACCGGAGCACCCGGAGGAAACCCACGCGAACGCAGGGAGAACATGCAAACTCCACACAGAAACGCCAACTGAGCCGAGGCTCGAACCAGCGACCTTTTTGCTGTGAGGCGAAAGCACTACCTACTGCGCCACTGCTTCTTCTAGTATGCTTTTCAATAGGTGTGAAATATACAATTTATCATTTACAGTAGGTTACAATGCATTTGTGCATTACATTAGATTAGCTACATTAGATTACATAATCTAACAAAAAACTTAAGATCATAGTCCAAAAATTAGTAAACCCAAATAAATATGTTGGGGGGAAAATATTATAAACAGGAAAAATCAAGAGAGGCATAAAAATATTAAATTTATTTGTGGACATATATGTGCTATACACATAGAGGACATATACGTTTCTGGCATATATGTGGACATATGCGTTTCTGACATGCAGTATATAGGACATTTGTGTTTTACATATATGGACGTGTTTGTTTCTGGCATATATTTGGAAATATATATTTTTGACATATAAAGAACATCAGTGGACATTTTTCTGACATATGAGACATTGATATTTCTGACATACATTTCTGACATAAATGGGACATATACATTTTTGGTATGTGGACATATGCGTTTCTGGCATATATGTAAACATATATGTTTCTGACATATATGGGACGTGTACGTTTCTGGCATATATGTGGATATATATATATATATATATATATATATATATATGTGTATGTATATATATGTATGTATGTTTCTGTTATAAATGTGGACATGTATACGTTTCTGGCATATATGTGGACATGTATACGTTTCTGGCATATATGTGGACATGTATACGTTTCTGGCATATATGTGGACATGTATACGTTTCTGGCATATATGTGGACATGTATACGTTTCTGGCATATATGTGGACATGTATACGTTTCTGGCATATATGTGGACATGTATACGTTTCTGGCATATATGTGGACATGTTTACGTTTCTGGCATAAATGTGGACATGTATACGTTTCTGGCATATATGTGGACATGTATACGTTTCTGGCATATATGTGGACATGTGTACGTTTCTGGCATATATGTGGACATGTATACGTTTCTGGCATATTTGTGGACATGTATACGTTTCTGGCATATATGTGGACATGTATACGTTTCTGGCCCATATGTGGATATATGTTTCCGACATATATGCTTCCGACATATATGTGACATACAGTTGAAGTCAGAATTATTAGCCCCCTTTTGATTTTGATTTTCTTTTTTTAAATATTTCCCCAAATGATTTTAAACAGAGCAATGAAATTTTCACAGCATGTCTGATAATATTTTTTTCTTCTGGAAAAAGTCTTATTTGTTTTATTTCGGCTAGAATAAAAGCAGTTAATTAAAAAAAAAACATTTTTGGGACAAAATTATTAGCCCCTTTAAGCTATTTTTTTTCGATAATCTACAGAAAAAAACCATCAGTATACAATAACTTGACTAATTATCCTAACCTGCCTAGTTCACCTTATTAACCTAGTTAAGCATTTTAATGTCACTTTAAGCCGTATAGAAGTGTCTTGAAAAATATCAAGTAAAATTATTTACTGTCATCATGGCAAAGAGTAAATAAATCAGTTATTAGAAATAAGTATTTAAAACTATTATGCTTAGAAATGTGCTGAAACAATCTTCCCAGAACAGAACAGAAATTGGGAAAAAAAATAAACAGGGGCGATAGTAATTCAGGGGGGCTAATAATTCTGACTTCAACTGTATATGTTTCCGACATATATGGGACTTATATGTTTTTGGCATATGTGGGACATATATGTTTCCGACATATGTCTTTGAAATATATGGGACTTTTATTTGTTATACACATAAGGAATGTATACCTTTCTGGCATATACATGCTGTACATGTAGAGGACATATACGTTTCCGACATATATGGGAAATACATTTACAGCATATACATGGACATATATGTTTCTGACATATATGGGACATATACGTTTACGGCATATACGTGCACGTATACGTTTCTGGCATATTCGTGGACGTATACCTTTTCAGCATACATGTGGACGTATATGTTTCTGGCAAATATGTTGGACATATGTGTATCCGGCATATATGGGACAGATGTTTCCAACATATATGGGACATATGTTTCCGAAGTATATGGGACATATAGGTTTCCGAAGTATATGGGACATATAGGTGTCCGACATACATGGGGCAAATAGGTTCCTGACATATTTGGGGCATATAGGTTTCCGACATATTTGTGGCATATAGGTTTCTGACATATATGGGAAATACGTGCTTCCGACGTATATGGGACATACGCGTTTCCGACATATATGGGACATACGCGTTTCCAACGTATATGGGACATACGCATTTCCGACGTATATGAGACATACGCATTTCCGACGTATATGAGACATACGCGTTTCCGGCGTATATGAGACATACGCATTTACGACGTATATGGGACATACGCATTTCCGACGTATATGGGACATACGCATTTCTGACGTATATGGGACATACGCGTTTCCGACGTATATGGGACATACGCGTTTCTGACGTTTATTGGACATATGCGTTTCCGACGTATATTGGACATATAGGTTTCTGACTTAGATTGGACATAAATAGGTTTCCGACGTATATGGAACTTATAGCTTTCCGACATATATCGGACATTTGTTTCCTACATATATGGGACATGTATGGTTCCGACATACAGTTGAAGTCAGAATTATTAGCTCCCTTAAAATTTTTTTCTTCTTTAAATATTTTTCAAATGATGTTTAACAGAACAAAGAAATTTTTATAGTATGTCTGATAAAAAAATTTTCTTCTGGAGAAAGTCTTATTTGTTTTATTTTGGCTAGAATAAAAGGCGTTTTTAATTTTTTAAACACTATTTTAGGGACAAAATTATTAGCCCCTTTAAGATATATTTTTAACGATAATCTACAGAACAAACCATCAGTATACAATAACTTGCTTAATTACCCTAACCTGCCTAGTTCACCTAATTAACCTAGTTAAGCCTTTTAATGTCACTTTAAGTTGTATAGAAGTGTCTTGTAAAATATCTAGTAAAATATTATTTACTGTCATCAAAGCAAAGATAAAATAAATCAATTATTTGAAATTAGTTATTAAAGCTATTATGTTTAGAAATGTTTTGAAAAAAATCTGCTCTCCGTTAAGCACAAATAGGAAAAAATAAAAATAAATAAACGGCCTAATAATTCAGGGGGGCTAATAATTCTGACTTCAACTGTATATGGGACATGTATGTTTCCGGCATATATGGGACATACAGTATTTGTTTCCGGCATACATGTTTCCGGCATACATGTGGACATATGTTTCCAGCAAATATGTGGACATATGTATATCTGACAAATATGTAGACATATACGTCCACATATTTGCCAGAAACATAAATGTCCCATTTTGCCAGAAACATACATGTCCCGTGTTTCTGGCATATATGGGACATATATGATTCTGACATGTATGGGACGTGTGTTTTGACATATTTGTGGACATATCTTTATGACACCTATGGGACATATGTTTAGCTGACATTTGGGACTTATGTTTCTGGCATATACTGTATGTTGACATATATGTGTTGTACATTAGGGCTGTGCAAAAAAATGAAATCGGATCGCAATTTGGCGAATCGCATATCACAGCCTTTTACGTTTAGTTACAGCCCTACTGTAAAATGATTAAAAATATTATTCTTCATTAGGGGGTGTAAAATCAGCAATGTTAAAAATGGGATTTGGTTTAAAGGAAGTGGATTTTGAGAAACTTCACAGCCATAATGTATTCATAGTGCCTCTGTTGGACATTTACGAGGTCTTTGTTTTTACATGCAGCCTTGTCACGTGGTGTACACAGACTACCGTCCCACTCCACTGCAGCACTACATCTTTCCAGCAGGGGGCGATGGACTCCATCTTGTCGTGGATGAGAACGTAAGGAGCCAAATGCTTTACATAGCTGAATTAAAACCTTTTCTTCCAATGTCAGAGGTGTAACTCAAACATGCCTGAATGTTCTTGGGTTTGTGTGCCGCCCTTTTTATTACAATATATGGAATTTATCTGTACTATTATCTGACTTGGGTGTAGTTTAGGAGCTGTCATTTCACGCTGCATGAAACTGAACAGATTTTGATGTTGAAACGTCAATATCTATTTGTGTGTGTGTGTGTGTGTGTGTGTGTGTGTGTGTGTGTGTGTGTGTGTGTGTGTGTGTGTGTGTGTGTGTGTGTGTGTGTGTGTGTGTGTGTGTGTATAGCATGACTGCCAAGCCGCAACAAGCTGAATCAAGTTTAAGAAGTCATTTTATTGTTTATCATTGTGGTTATGTAATCACACTTTTTCTTTTTGCTATTTCTTGTCAGGGAGAGTTTAGAGAAGACAATTTTAACACCGCAATGCAGGTCCTTAGGGATGCGGGGGACACAGGAGGCAACACTGGGGCCAAATGGGACCCCAAAGGCAGAAAAGGTGGAACAAAAGGTTAGTATTCAAGAGGCAACATGTGCAAATATAAACATAGTAAACCTATTTCCAAGAACTAATAATAAACCATATTCTAGTATCAGACAACCTCTTTTATATTCCAGTCCATTTCTGATGAATAAAATAAGCCGTGACTTCTCCTTTTATGATTTGGATTTGTTAATCTCATGTTTTCATGGAAATAACAACTATAGAAGTCCAATGGATTAAGGCAAACTTATGTCTCCAGTGAGGAGCTGTAAACTTTTCATTTAGTCACTAATTCAGAAAAACCTTTAACCTCAGATAGCTGTGAACCATATATATAGAATCATCAACGTAGCACTGTTTTCTTCCAAATATTTACATCTCAATGAGCTACTTTAGTCAACGGAGACTAATTGAGCTAGATAAAATACAAAATACAATGTACAAAGCACACAAATAATGTACTTAAGTAAAATTACAGATACCCTAAAAAGTATTACTTCAGTACAATTTTGTAATGTATGCAAGTATTAAAAGTAAAATAAAACTGTTTGTGTATTTTGAAAATGTTAGGCGGTTATCCACTAATATGTATGCCTGCGTTTAAGCATGTTGTACAGGGGGCTTAAATAACTATTCTAAACATGATTTTCATGAACTATAATAAAACCTAAAACTCAACTAATATCAACTTTCTTTTTAATCTCTTAAGGATTTTAATTTTTTTGTTCGTTTTGAATCCAACTTGAAGCATTTGGATCAGTGGATCGTTACATGAAGACTTTCTCTGATTGAAGCGTTTTAATCAGTTGATTGTTACTGGAGACTCGCTCTGATTGAAGCATTTGATTTAGGGCATCGTTAACTGGAGACTCATTCTGACTGAAGCATTTGAATCTGGATCGTTAACTGAAGACTTACTTTAACTAAAGCATTTGATTCAGTAGATTGTAGATTAGACACTTGTTCTTACCAAAACATTCAGTGGATTTTTAACTGAAGATCTACTCTAAGGCTGCATTTACACTGCACTGTTCAAGTGACTCAATTCCGAATTTCTTTTTTTTTTTTTTTTTACTTAAATGGCTTTCATGTTGTCTTATAGCACAGGTATTGAAGCATGTTAACGAGAGCGAGAAAGCGCAATGTCCGCCACGTAAACAATATAAACTAATATAAAACTAGTGCATATATCACGTGCATAAATCACGCCATGGGCATTACATTAAGATGCCTAAAGGTTTAAAAAAGCCTATATATCAAAAAAAGATGCACAAATTAGAACCTTTTTGTCATAAACTATAGTAAAACAGCTTGTCAAAAGCTTCGAACAGATTACAAACAGGAAAAGAGTCGAGGAACTATGACATCAATTTGTATGCAAAAACCCTGAAGCGAGTTATCATTTTAGTACTTCCGGTTCCCTCGTCCCAAAGTCAATGGGTTTTTTTAAATAGGGTTTCAGTAAAATCACTTAAATAAGGACCATGGCTGATACAAACTCAAGATACTTTCACGTTTTGTTCTACGACATAAAACATTTCAGTTACAGCACACTCTTGATTTATTAAATCGGTTATGCTTCTTTTAAAAAGACAGTTGCTATCAAGTTGCTAAATGGGACTACAGGCGGTGTCGGGGACATTATACATCACAGGTGTCAAACTCAGTTCCAAAAGGGCCGCAGCTCTGCACAGTTTAGTTCCAACCCTAATTAAACACACCTGATCAAACTAATTGAGTCCTTCAGGCTTGTTTGAAACCTACAGGTATGTGTGTTGGAGCAGGGTTGGAACTAAACTGTGCAGGGCTTCGGCCCTCCAGGAATTGACTTTGACACCCCTGTTATACATCATCGAGCTGATTTGGTCTGGAGCAAACGTGTGAAAAAATGTGTAAAAATACATGCATGTTAACTGTCATTTTAACGTGATCAAGGGATTTTTCGTCTTTTTTTCCCTCATCTGAACACATTTAACTCTTTAACTGTCTTAACTGCAATATTTACACTCCTCCATAAAGTGTATAGCAGATGTGACTGTATGTGTTGCTTTTCGCTGTACTTCATGACAAAAAAGGAATATTGAATGTTGCTCTGTGTCCATGATGATGGAACTTGCAGGCATTTTATAGACTTGATCCTCCTCACGCCTAATTTCTGTTGTCTGTTAAGGTAAACGGGCTGTGCACGCGAGCGATGCACTTATTTAAATATGTCTTACGATGATACTATGTAGGCACATTTATACACAGTTTTAAAACTTTTAGAACAACCGTAAAGCAAAACAGATGCATTTCCCACATAAAAACGATCCAAAAGGCACGTAGGTCTATGTGTTTTTGCATATTTATTTGTTTATAATATATACCGCTGATTATAATATAATAAACAGAGAGACTAACTCTGTTATGGACATTATTTCTAAAAGTAAGCTTGATAAGTTTTCTGTAGCAGGGTGGATTCTGACGTCACAGATGAGCACCCCGAGGGCGCTGTAGTGCGTTTATAGCCTAATGTTAGCTTTTCAATTCATGCGTTTGCATTTAAGATCCAAAAGTGCTCAAAGTTGTATTTTCGTGTGACTATTATCCGGCTGGACAAAACGTGTAAGTGTTTATAAACAGTCTTTGAACACAGAGCTTATTATTTGCAATCTTCGAAAATCTTTATGGGAAAATCCTATAGGGATTTTCACGAGGGAACCAGTTTTATGCTAGCAGCCGATTAGCCTACAAAGTGACGTCATAGTTCCTCCACTCTATATAGAAAAGATCACTCTATAATTATCAGCTGTTAGTCAGGTAAGAAGGGTAGTTTTTTTTCCTGGTCATTGTGCCTTTGCCGTGTGCTGTGTAAATGCAGACGATCGTATACGAGTCACTTTTAAAAGAGGATGTAAGCAGGTCATCAAAAAAAAAATCGGAGACAGTCACAACATTGCAATTGACCATCAAGATCTGCAGTGTAAATGCAGCCCAGTAAAGCATATGATTTAGTAGATTGTTAACTGGAAACTTGCTCTTTCCAAATCATTTGTTTAATGCATCGTAAACAGGAGATTTGCTCTAATCGTAGCATTTGAACTGGCAGATTGTTATCTTCAGATTCGCTCTAACCAAAGCATTTGAATCTATGAATTAAAAAATATGTTTAATAAATGCTGTGATGTTAATAAAATGATATTTTGATTTCATGCCAATTATATACCTCCCCCTCAGGTCCATCTAACGTCTTCAAGATCGTGAAGATGATTATGGAGAGGAACTTCCAGCCGGTGATCATCTTCAGCTTCAGTAAGAAAGAGTGTGAGGCCTATGCTCTGCAAGTCTCCAAACTGGATTTCAACACAGGTATATGTTACAATCATTAACACTTACTTAGACATTAGGTTGTTCTTGGTTGAGTTAGGCGGTTGAGCAATTTTTCTTTTGAAAGGACTGATTTAAAAAAAAAAAAACTGAACTAAGCCTTGGAAAAATTACCACGTTATTACTACATTATAATTACCACATTGTTACCACAAAATTACCACATCAAAATTACCACATTATATTTCTTCTTTTGGAGAAGTATTTGCTTATTTTTCATGTACTGTTTATCTAACTCCTATTGCTCAAATATGAGAGCAGTGATGAGCTATCAGTTCTATTAATTAGGAAGAGATTAAAAAAATTTAAAAAGCCAAAATGTCAGAGAAGGAAATGAGCTCAGCTTTGGTCTGTTTGTGGGGAATTTTTCATTTTGATACCCTAACAGGGAGTTCATTATTAAGCATTCAGCTATTTGAAAGCGATTGCATTACAGAGCCAAACACTTTAATTTGTCACTGAAGTAGGGGTGTGTACTGTTTATCGTGGTTTCATTTATCTAGTTTTAATGATGTGTGAACTGACATTATAGAGTGTCACTCACTTTAGAGGAAAAACCCACAAAGTCATGTCTAAAAGCATTAACTGTTGATGAATCCTAGATAAATGCAGCTAGAATGAGCTAATAAATGTATAATAAAATAATCTTTTATAGATTTTTATATTTATAAACTATAGTTGAGTAATCGCACCCAAACAACAAACAAGATGTTAATATTGAGGGGTTTTATTATCTGTTGTTTTCTGCTTTACCCATATTTCAAACAAAGCCAGAGCAGCACATTTTGTTTATCAATCTATAGTGTCTTGTTTTAGAACCGGGGTCTCAAACTACTAACCCACAGACCATCATTGCTGTGCATTTGCGTCTAGCCACTTGTGGTTTTGACCTGCTACTTAGTCGACATTTAAAGTACTGCATTCGGATTAGTTTTACATTCATTATCTCCGTGTATGTTTGAGAGTAACACACATGCGTTTTAATTCTGTGACCGATTTAAACGTTAAAATATACGCCTGTAAGTGCTCTATAGTTACTAAAGCTCTATTTTTTTTAAATATTAAAGGGTCATTTGATTATAATTAGTTTTATACCACCTGTATTTGGTTGTAGAAACACTTCTTCATGATTTACATGTTATTCTGGTGGTATAATAAACATGATTTTGCTGATATTTGATTCAAATGGTCTCGTTTAATAGATTTTGCTCATGCTTAAGTTTTGCATAAAAACTTTGTACAGTAGTAAAATTGTACTGCTAATTGAATTGAACTTGTTAAAGTAACTGTGAATATGCTCATACTTTCCCCTCTTTGTTGTAGTTTTACAAAAAAAGAAAAATATTCAGAAGTTCAAGTTACTCAAACTGCTTTCTGCTGTTCTTGCGCTAATTGGGATAATACTATTAATTGGGACAGAATAATAACTATTATGCCTATTATCTGAAGTATTTTCATAGCAATTTAAACTCCCCCTTCAATATGTAGAACAAGACACAAAAAGCTAGAGTTTTGACTGCATATACTTTGTTTTCGTTTTTTGTTTTTGCTTTCACAAACACACACACACTTGAGCCCTCACAATATGCGTTTAGCCGGGAGAGCTCGCGCTGAGCAGAGCAAAAAAAAAAAAACGAAAAAAGAAGCACTTTTTGGACGGCCCCTTGCTGAGAGCTCCAATTAGCGCGAGCTCTCCCGGCTAAACGCAGATTGCGAGGGCTTAAACAGAGCAGTGGTTGTAATGTTGAGCGGAGAAAAAAAAAAGACAGTGGTGAAACATAATCAGTTTTATCTTTTTGTAGGAAACACACTTTAGATCTTATTAGGGTAAGAGGTTCTTGGAGGCCGTCTGTCACTGAATGTGTCAGGAATATCGAAAACAAAACCAACTTAACCGTGCTCATTTCTGGCACCCCCCTCGATGTACAGCACCCTTAGCATTTGCCTATACTGCCTATGCCACGGGCCAGCCCAGAGTTGGCTCCTGAATGTTGTAAATACCCACGCTCACCTCCCTCGCCACAGAGCGCGTAGGAGATAAATGACATCAGTACGCAATAACCGGTTAAGATTATTACTGAACCGATACCGAATTGTCTGCATCGCGGTGCACCGAAGAAACAGTTAATTTTGACACCTCTAGTATTTTAAGAGCTCTTGATATTGTTTATTATCGCGATATATTGAATATCCGCATATGTTTTAGTACCAGCACGAAACCACCCTTAGCAAAATAATGTTTGTTTATCATTAATAGAAAAAAACTATTACAAGATAATATTTTGTCGTTTTATACAACCATACATCAGCTCCTTTTACCATGTCAAGCCTTGTATGCTTTTAAGATGGAAACAGACAGTATGCATTATTTTGACGCCACTTCACATATTGCTTTGATTTGCACAACCTAATTGGATTTTCCTTGAAGTGACTGATGTGGCACATACAGAAGCGTTGCAGTTATTGTGGACTTTTCAACATGTTTTGGTTGAGAATAGTGAAACTCCTAGTCTCTGACTATTGGTAGCGTATGGTTGAGTATGACTTTGAAACCATACTAGAAGTCATCCACACAGCTGGTCCTGTTTTGCGAGTGGTGCTTTAGGTGGGGAGACTGTTTTCATTGGCTTTATCTGAGCAGATGTCATCGTGAGAGCTTTCCAGCTCAAGTGTGATTTTCATCGAGGCTTTCCAGAACATTTTCGTCATTTCCAGCATGCACAAGTGGTCTGTTGCTTTTCTAATCTCTTGAGTTGTTGCTTAAGCAGTGACCGCTGCAGAGATATTATGTTTTCAAGCACTTTTATGGCCATTTTGGGGAGAGTCAGATGTATAGTGAATATTTGTTCCTCTGAAGTTATCAGTCTGTGCTTTCATGGACAGAAAGGCTAATGCTAACTGCAAATAAGAAAATTAGCTTAAAGGATGCCTATTTTATGCCTTTTTCAAGATTTAAGATGAGTCTTTTGTGTCTCCAAAATGTGGCTGTAAAGTTTCAGCTCCAAACACCCATCAGAGTATTTGTTATATCTTTTAGAATGTTGGATTTTATTATTATTATTTTTTGCTTTAAACACTATGTAGTTGCTTTCGTGGCCTGTGCCATTAATGCTGGTTCACCTTGCCCACCTTTCCCACATGCCTGTCAGAGTGCGCCTCAGTCCCCGCCTCATCTGCATCAGATAACAGACAAACATGAAGGTTTCAGATCATACCTAACGCTTGTGAGAAATACTACAGTAAAAACTTTCCCAATGATTATTTGATGTGTTTATTCTGGAGTTAATTCAAGCCTTTCTGCAATGATGAGTCACACACTTTTTCATTACAAAGTTCAAGCACACACAGCGGCCATTTAACTTTGCACTGTTTTTGCACGGCAAATGTGAATGGATACAGGTTAATCTCCATTGCTGTATGGATATCCATTATGTTAATGTACAAAGTAAACCTGATTTAAAGTTCACAAACTGCCATTGAAGCATCTTCCTTGATAATTGTACTGATACGCGGCTGTGGTGATGAAGTAAAGATGGTAAAATTACTGTAATTCACTACAAACATGCACTGTTTTAAAAACATTTTAAACTAGTAAAACTCCTTGATTACATTTGATGATGATTGATGAGCAGAGAGCTAAACAAATCTTTTTAATCCCGGTTCCTTTGCGCACCTCCTGTCTTGTAGATATGATTATAAGTGTTACTACCGATACATGTTAATACGGGGCTATCAATCAATTTGGTGGGTAGGGAAACCGCACTCCTACGTCACAATGCGGTGGGCCTCAAAATGGGAGGGATTTGGATCCTATTTTAATATCAGAATAAAAAAATACATTTTTCTTTATATGACCTCAATATGACTGTGGACACACTATACCTGCACACAGTTCTGTCTTACAGCTTACAAAAGAGGATTGCATGTATGCATGTAAAAATGGCCTTGATTAAAAAATAAAATAAAATAAAAGTTGGAATTACACTTATTTTTACTTTTAAGAAAAAGATTTCTAAATTTAGGATTCCTAAGTTTACATTTACATTTAGTCATTTAGCAGACGCTTTTATCCAAAGCGACTTACAAATGAGGACAAGTAAGCAATTTACACAACTAAGAGCAACAATGAATAAGTGCTATAGGCAAGTTTCAGGTCTGTAAAGTCTAAGAAGGGAAGTATTAGTAGTATTAGTTGTTTTTTTTTTTTGTTACAGTTAGTGTGATATTCAGAGAGGCAATTGCAGATTAGGAATTGAAGTGGAGACTAAATAGTTGAGTTTTTAGTCGTTTCTTTGGAAGTTTCCTTGGAATATCAAGATTATCATGTGCAATTCTGTATTTTTACCACTCAGCATATAAGCTTGAAATTACACAGGACAAAGTTTTATTTGGTAGAGGAGTCAGAAGTGTATGTTATGAATATAAATATTTTCACACTTATTCACTAAATCAGTCGCATGTTTTCACTGTATGACTTGAATGTAATTTGAAATAAAAAGAACTGTAATTTGGTCCCACCCCACAAAAGCATAATGATGTTCATAAATTAAAGACATTTTGTTGAATAGTAAAACAAAGAAAATCACGTTTTATTATATTTTGCTATATTGTTATGATTTAATCCTTGAGCATTGTGTATTTTCTTTTTCTATTCCTCTTCATTCCTTTAAAACCTGTTTTAACACGTTAATTTGTTTTTGAAAATTTTGAATTCTTTTAATTATATTTATTTGTCTTTTTTTATTCTTGTTTATGTAAAGCACATTAAATTACCATTATAAATCTTGCCTTGCCTATTGTTCAAATTTACTACCCTTTTAACTCGTTAGTGGCTGTTTTTGCCCCATTGACTTCCATTATAATGATCAGAAGCAAAAATTACAAATTGTATTTGTATTATAATCAATTATATTATAACCAATTTGTAACCTGTTATAATATGGTGTCATGGCATTGCAGTCAAAAAAATGTAATTATAATGGAAGTCATTGGGGCAAAAACAGCCACTAACAAAACATAGAAGGGTAGTAAATTTGCCCAGTGTATTGAGTTTTTACATTTTTTTCCCCAAAAAATGTGTCAATAAGATTTGTCACCAAAAATCTTTCCATATGCTGAAAAAGAGAAAGTTGTGGCCAAATTAAGACTCAAAATCACCCCAGAGTGAATGAAAAGGTGCTCAACAGCATACAAGGGTTTTTAAAGGGTCACATTTTAAAGAAAAATAATTTTTATTTTACTGCGTGCAAAGTACTTTAGTGAAATTTCCTATCGGTGTTTAATTGATTTATGATTAATTGAATTTGAATAAAAATACATTGACTTTAAAAGCTCTTATAACTTCAGTAATTTTGGCATTGTTTTAGGTCACAGTTTTCTATCTGTAAAAATCGCTGGTTTTAAAGCAACCTTTGTTGAAAACAGCAGGTCTATATTTAGTGTGTATTTTGTTATGCATTGTGATTTTGAATGTGCTAAGCTTTGAGAGCTCCAACTGCGCCACATGGGGCAGGCTGAAACAGAGATGTTCTAATCCCTCATAACATTGTTTATAGGTCCTGTTGGAAGCAGACAACATTTCTTTAATACACTTGTATATTTTCTGTCTCACTCTCTATGCTGCTTCTACTGTGTGTAAATATTTCTGGTTTTTAGTGTGAAATGGAAAATCATACCTGCTTTAGTGGGGCTGGCTGTGTTTCAGAGGCTTTGTTCTGACACATATTCATGTCTCCTTCTGCTTTTCTATTCATCCCCAGACGAAGAGAAAAAACTGGTAGAAGAAGTGTTCAACAATGCCACAGACTGCCTCTCTGATGAGGACAAAAAACTGCCACAGGTAAATTCTTTCAGTGCACTGTATTTTGCACAATGGTTTAAGTGGTCTGTGCTGGTGATAAAATAAATATACTGATTTACATTTCTATTATTGATATAGAGCCTAACTACTGATTTCTGGTGAATAATTTACACCGAATCAAAATTGTAACAGTAGCACTAAAACTGGTATTATAGTTCCAAAAACTCTGTTTAAGTTATTAATAATATTACTAATTATTATTAGTCTTAGACAAATGGGATGCAGTCACATTGAAATATGAATCAAAATGTTCCCACATTTGACTGAATATATCCACAGAAACACTTATACCTAGTTCAGACTGCGTGATTTTAGCCCCGATTTTGGCTCGCCGACAGGTTTTGAGAAATCGCCGACAAATGCCTGAAATCACAGGCAAATCGCTGCTCATGCACTAAGTGACAATCACACGGTATGAACTTTCAAAGACGCGATCTGAGAGAATCGCCGATAAGTCGCCGATGCCTGTGAGATATTTGGCGTGCTAAATATCTGGAGCTGTCGGCGATTCAAATCATGCCGTGTGAATTGAGTTTTGACTGAAAATAACACCAGCGATCGCCTACAGCCAATGAGAGAGCAGCTTTCACTTGTGTGTGTGCGTGTGTGTATACCTGCTGCAGACCAGCGGGAGGCTGGGGGAGAAGTTAAACGCGCTCTTTTTCGGTTTATTTGGACCCACGAAATGGAGGAAAAACTAGTTGAGGTTTGACAGGACTCAGGAGCAACTGTGTCTGTTTGACGTTTCAGACAGAAAGAAAATAGTTTATTATCAACGTTGAGGAGAAATGGCTAATTCACTTTAAACCCAGGTGAGCAAACATGTACATGTTCTACCCCATTAAAGGCTTCTTTCTCATTATGTAGTTAATAACAAAAGATATATACGTGTTTTTGGCTGTGAGACGTAGTTTGGACGAAGTTGTCGGCGATTCTTCCCATAGTAAAGTCATGCAATGTGAATGTCCCTGTCGCTGATCCATCTTGCAGTGTACACAAAGCAGTGATGAAACGCTAGCCCAGATAGTCATGCAGTGTGAAAACATCTGACACACGACTATTTTGAAAATCATGCAGTCTGAACTCGGCATTAATGCAACGAGTAATGACTAAATTTGTTGCGTTTACACTGCAACAATATACTAACAATTAACACCATGATAAATGGCTAAAAATGCTGCATTATACATAGCAGGCCTGTAGATGGTAGATGTCACTTGGGTTGTTAAGTACTTTTGTACATTCTGAAACTGTGGAGGACTTCCATTTACTTATTACTTGTTCATTTGCACTCATAGTGGTGCTAATGTGTACTGAAGAAACTCTCCTAAATGCGCGTCAAGAGTGAATTAAACACTCAAAAAAATATTTTGAGCTAACGCATAAGGTTTGTGTATTCTGATTGTATATAAAATTTCCATCCATTTGGTTTACATACTTTTAACACTATTGAACTTATTAATTTTGTAATATTCATTAGTTAAACCTAATTTAAACAAATAAGAACAAGATTTATGTATTATCAATAAATCCAATGTGTTTAAAATGCATATTAATTTGTCTGTTGTGTGGAGCATGGAGCTGCGTCAATTTGTTTAGTAATACTATTAGATTTAATCAGTTCAAATTGATTCTAAAGCTGCCTTTCCACTGCAAACAACAAGCGGAAGTCATTTATTTCCAATAGAAAGTAGTCCAGGAGCTGTGTGGGGTCCCGTTATTTTCCATATGTGGAAAATTCGTATCCAATTTGAGCTGCAGATATGTTGAAATATTTCAACTCCTGCGACTAGACCATATGCAACACGCCGTCCGGATGAGATGTATTCCAGCGTTGTCCAAGTGAAAGGTGACTTAAGGAATCTGACAACATACATTTAAAAAAACTGACAAATTAAATAAAATCAAAAGGTTGCAAACAGTTAACGATGAACTTCATTGTGGTAAATGCTTTTGAGTGTAATAATTAAATATGATATATTTATGAATAGTTGCTTTTTGTTACTTCCTAAAATTAAAAATAAATTATAAAATCAAGTGAAGTTTCATAAACTAATTTCAAGAGGAGCACGTGAAATGATTGTGCACCGCTGGCCACTCATCCGTAATCAGTAATAATCCAATCAGAATGATCCTAGCTTAATATAAATGGATCACTTTCTCCTTATTGCTCTATCTTCGTTTTGGAAGAATCCCCCCTTCCACCCCATCTCCTCCTTTTTCTCCCCTTCTAAAGGGGGAGCGATCGAGACCTACCTGATCTTGGTTCTCCTGATATGCTTCTAGACCGGGCGGGACCCCTGGGCTCAAATATCTCCGAGCTCGGAGCTCTCTCCTGGGACAGCATGCCAAACCTGCTATAAGTGACAAGCATATCTAAGTGGGAATTCTTGAAATTGTTTTCTCAACCCTTCTGGATTTCGGAGTTAACATGGACTGTAAATGTAGGAGCAGATTTGTGTTCCAAGGATAAATAAAGTCTTAGATGTATGGAACAATAATCATTTCTGTGTGAACAAACACTTTAATATTTATTAAGCATTAAATGAGTTCCCTTCAGCTTTGTTGCTCATGTGGTGTGTGATACCACTGCATAATAATTGGAGAAACATTTTAAATATTCAAAACAAGCTAAACATTTATATTAAACTATCATGAAGATCCGTTCCATATGCGTGATGGTAAGGAATGTGACAGTATTTTCAAGAGAAAGTAGAGACCTATTCTGTTTTGAGACAAACATACCAAAGTCTGCTACTGTGAATATTCGAATTTACATTATTTTACTCCCTAAAACTCACTAAGCTGGTATTTTTGTTATTAATGTGTCACTAAAACCACAGCAAAGTTACGCTCTTACATGTAAAACTTGTTTGAGGTTGACTGGGTGTATTAGCAATTCCCGAAATGGTTTCAAGATCCCCATAAAACTTTCCAGTCTGTCTCTCATTGGGCCCTCCTGTTCACCAATCTCCACATCCTCCACTTTATCCCCTACATTCCCTTTTACATCTAACAATGCTTTCATCCATTTCCACATTGCAGGAGAGCAGAGTTTGGCTCATGTTCATCAAGTAGAAATGCTGCTCTGTTTGTAAAGATAAACTGATCCTCTATCAGAATGTCTGATTATATGACGTGTTCAGATATGCTCTTCGTGTAAATGTTGTCTTTATCAGGAATGGACCATCCTTTAGCTTGACTCCTTCCTGTTTGATTCTCAATTACATATTTCTCAAAAGCATCCTGAGCTCATGATGCTGTTGACCCACATTTTTATTTGCATATATTTTAACATCTTTGACACAACGATTATTGATTTTGGTTAGTATCACATAATTGTGTTATAAATTGGTTAACAATAATAAAATAATGATACATAAATATTTATATATTTTGAAGTACCTTATTAATAATCTTAAGGAATCTGCGCACGCAGAAATCCAGATTTTTGGCCTATCATTGAGTCTATTGAGCCCATCATTGAGTATTTATTTACTTGTTTAGATGTGTATAAATTTTTAATTATTCAGTTGTTAAATTAATTTCAGTAATATTGACTAATATAAAAGTGTTCATTTTATTTTACAATACAGTCTGTAAAAATATGTTCTGTCTTTTAGTGGATATACGCATTATATGAGAGACTTGCTTTGTTTACTAAATAAGTGGATTTGCATTGTAGACATTAAATAAGTTATAAAGCTATTCTTTTTTTTATTTCATATGTTAAGATTTTGGTTTTTTCTTATGATTAGTAATTTCTGCATACATTTGCAGATGTTTACAAAATTCTCTGCAGAAATAGCAAATAATGTCTGCAGATTCTGTCTGGCCCTAATCATAATATTAATTTTAAGTTATTATTAGGCCCTCACAGAATCTGCGCTTGCAGAAATCCACAGATTTTTAGCCCATCATTTAGTTTATTTATTTACATGTGTAAATTTATACTTATTCAGTTTTTAAATAAATTTCATTAATAATGAAATTATATTATATAATTTATTCACAATAATTTATTTCTGTCTTTTAGTAGATATATTCTATAAGAGTCTTGCTTTTACCAAATAAGTGGATCTAATTGTATTTGCATTGTAAACGTTAAATAAAAGTTAAAATGGTGTGATTTTATATATTAAGTTTTTAGTTATGATACTCCCAAAATCATTCCACATAATTATGTAGAATTTTTTTTCTTTTTTTTTTCATACAAAAATTCTGCGCAGAAATGGCAAAAATGCCTCTGAATCTGTCTGCCTCTAGTTATTACTAATAAACATATTTTATTATTAAATGCTTACTATTTTAAAATAAAATATAAAAACAAATTATTATTATGAATGGCTTTAGTGTTTATTCATAGGTATAATCAAACATTGAATTAAAATGTTAATAACTATAATGGTGGTAATAATAATAATAATTATAATAATAATAGTTGTAGCCCTAATTTGCTGGGCTTATCCCTGTATACCATTAATATAAAAACTTAAACATTGTAATAAAAAAATACTTAGAAATCCATAAATGTCTACTCACATTGATCTTCTATATATTTAAATAATTGAGAATTTGAAAACAAATTGAGAAAAAAAATTCAAAGCATACTTTATTACCTAAAATATAAAAAAAAAATACATATAATATAAATGAATAAATAATTTTTAAAAAATCTTTATAGAATGCAATTTTTGAACTAGCGGGTATAGAACAATTCTTAAATTTTTGTTGTTTGGGGAAGATAAAAAAAAGAAATCGAGGTTCTATAAAATAAAAGTTCTTAGTTTGAACAGAAAAGGAGAAACGTAGTAGAATTTCCAGGTTGCATTTTTACCCTACAAAAAAGTGCATTGGGTTGCAAAAAGAAAACACAGCTGCTATCACGTTTACCCCATCACGCTTTCTCTATGGAGGAGATTAGCTTGTTATTTGTGCAAAAAAATGTTGTTGATGCCTTGGAAAATTCTCCCTTGGTGTTAAAAGGCCTTCAAGCTGGTCTTGATTAACTACACAATGCTAATCTGCCTGAGCGGTGTTTAAGCGCAGTAATAGCCTGTGAGAGCGTGACCTGGACGAGTGTGTGTTTAATTGGGATGGTTTCTCAACAGGTGGAGCATGTGTTGCCGCTGCTCAAGAGAGGAATAGGCATTCATCATGGTGGCCTCTTGCCCATCCTGAAGGAGACCATTGAGATCCTCTTTTCTGAGGGGCTGCTGAAGGTGAGAGACCTTTAGCTGCCCACATTAGTCTTCATAGAATTGAAGTCTAACTTGTTCAAACTCCGTTTATTGTCTTAATTATAGGGAAAATCATTTTAAAAAGGTGTCCAATTATTCTGTTTTACAAAGTCTTGATAGAGGCATACTAGAATATGCTCTCTTTCTTGGTGGTTCAAAAAACACATTCATTTTTTTAAGTATTATCTTTTCTCCTCAGTCTGGTCCTAACAGCCCGATTAATTCTGGGTTTTGATGAAGACCCGCCTTCTGAAAATAAATGAGCTGGTATTGGTTAGCTTTCCCAGTGTATTTTGGTTATTACTTTATCTACTGTTTTGCTTTTTCCAACCCTCAACCATTTGAATTTCCGTAGGCTCAATGTGGACCACTTGGTGATATCATGTAATGTGCTTCCCAGATTGCATGCTTGTACACTGTTCTATGCCATTTTGTAGTATAAATAATGTGTTCCCATTTAAATATTTTGTTTTATTATAAAATATTATGTGCACTTTAAATACCTGTATGATGCATTTGTTCAATCATTAAAAGTAAGTGGAATGTTGGACACTTCCCTCACTCAATGGCCGCAGGTTTGCTCACGTAGCGGAAAGGGCGGAGCTATAGGTCAATACTGGATGTTTTTATGGGGATTGCGGATATACTCATGGCAGTACTATGGTACTATTTGGTAATTAGGTCATTTTCTTTCACTAATAAATGCCAAAACTTTGAAAAAAAGCTAAAACTTTATCTGGGAAAACAGTTTAAATCTTTGGTCACTAAAAAATGTTAGTCTTATTTATAACGACACTAGATTCATATACTATAATGTTGATTAAGTATATATAGTGTGCAATTTGGCATGCCATGTAAATCCCATCAAGTAAGCTTGTAGTCCGAATGTTTAGATTCCATAATTTGCATACCTTTTAACTTTTTTTATCATTTCAAACAGATGCAAAACAAACAGCAAAAATCAGTCAAGGCAGTCAAAATGTGGAAAAAATATTAAAAAGCCTTTATTAACATGGCTAATTCTAAAAAACTAAAAAAAAAAAAGCGTTTAGGCAAAGAATTGACTCAATCACTGTAACAGTGGTCAGGTGCGTCTGGAGTTTCTTGTATATGCTACACTCTCATGACTCATTACTATATCTAAACCAGTGGTGGGCAAACTTTTCAGACCCGAGGGCAACATCATGTTTTGTAAACCAAGTCAAGGGCCACATGTCAAATCCTTAAAAAAAAAAAAAACTTTTTAGAATTTATAGAGGCAGTATGTATGGAACATGTAATATCAGACAGAAACAGGTCACATTAACACAAAAGAGATTTTTTTTAAATAGTTATTATTGAGTCAATTTTAAAAGTATTTAACATCACTTATCAATCATCATAAAACAATAAAATAATCTCTTATAAAATATAATAATAATAATATTAATGTAATCATTTTTACAGTGGAGAATAGAAAAAGATTTTGTTTGATAGAAATAAATCTCATTCAAACATTAAAAATAAGCAATTATTACATAATTCAAGTCAAATTCACAACAATCTCATTTGAGCTTGTATTAATATGCTCATATTAATCTTTATAAAACTATTAGATAAAATGGAAAAATCTTAGTCTTTGTTATTCCAAGTCAAGTTATTATAAGTGTGTTAATGTGAACAATGAGCCTGAAAATAAAGTTATATTAATATCAACAGCATCACTCTCGCAAAATACCTAGCTGATTCAGTTGTTGCCTATTGACATTAAAATGACATTGTAGTCTTTAAAAATAGCAATACTTTCTAGGCATATTAGACCTACCGCGTTTTGTACTATACTGGTGAAGAAGTATCTTGTTGTCCATTCTTCCTTGAACACATGACATTCAGAGTCAATTTTTTTTTGCCTGACTTATTTTCAGCCATTAACAGTCGAGTGCATTTTAATATCTGAGAGTGTGTTCTATTTCTACTGGTTGCGCTTACTGTACTGCGTGCAATACTGCCATCAAATGGCATTCACTTGTATTGCATCATTAATTTACTAATTCTGAAATCAAACCGTTACTCACAAGCAGCATTTTAAAAACTCCCTCGCGGGCTGGACGAAACTGTTTAGCGGGCCGCATATGGCCCGCAGGCCGTAGTTTGCCCACTTCTGATCTAAACGATACTAAAATAGAATAAACAATTATCATTAATTCAGCATTGATAGAGGGGGAAAAAGCAATTAATTCATAAATCAGTAGTTCAGAAGTGGAGTATTTAAATTGTCATTCACGTTGCTTTAAGTTACATTAGTCCTTCCTTTTCTTGTTAATGCAGTCTTTTACCTTTGCCTTTTGTCAGATTTGTAAATAATTGTTTACTTCAATGCTTGGTTGTTTGTTATTATGCAACTCAAATCTCATCCAAGGGTATTTTTTGCTTTCATAACTTGAATGATAGTGATCTATCTTCTCTAAATGATTGTCTAATCTATCATCTTCATCACACAATCAATCCTCTAACACTCGCAAGGCATGTTTTTTTTGTTTTTTTTTTCACACATTTTAATAAGTGATGTCACTTTTTGTTGATTTTAACTAGCAACTCGCTGTAATCTTTTTCAAAATGTTGATATCTCATTTACGTCTGTGATTAATGGTTTGATGTATCCTCTCTCTGCCTGTCTCTAGGCCTTATTCGCTACAGAAACATTTGCCATGGGGATCAACATGCCTGCGCGAACCGTTCTCTTCACCAGTGCTCGAAAATTCGACGGCAAAGACTTCCGCTGGGTAAATCACAAGCATCATCCTCCTCACAATCACAAATCACTTTTCCAAATGCATTTCTCCATCCTCCATCGCGCAGAGAGGACACGAGGTCGAGCAACAGCACCGTCCAAACTGCCACGTATTGTTTTGCGTGAGTGTGAAGCAATGACTCAAGCTGTTGTGAATAAAAGAGGCTCTTGGCTTTCGCTTCAGCATAGAGCGATGGGAGCTGCCATCGAAAACGTTTTGTGAGGAACATCTGGTATCCATGAGTCTGCCAGAATATGCGCACTCAAGGTTTTGGCTAAGCGATCGCAGGCATCGAGCTCCTCTCTGGGACTTTTAGCAGTTAATAGAATATTAAACGTATCTAGGGTCGATGGTGGGCTGCTGCAGGATAGAGTAGGAATGCTAGAAGTGGTTATCGGGCAAAAACAATATTTGCAGTGCTGATGGGCTGATATGTTGCATTGTTTGTGGCTGCTGCCAGATTGTGAGTAATCAGAGCTGCTCCAGTAAGAAGTGTTCAGATGGAAAACCTTATCATTTGGGCAATTTCAGATGTTTCCTCTAAGCCAGATCTGTGTTGTGGTGGTGTTTACCATTGTTGTGAATGTCAACAGAATTCATTGGTTGCTTATCAGTGGAAAACATGAAGATCAATGAAAAGAGATATAGGGCAAAGGTTTAAAAAATTTGGAGTTTACTTGACCCAATTCCAATTCTACCTTTTACCCCTACCCCTCATATTGAATGTTCACGTTAAAAGGTAGGGGTGTCCCAATTATCTTTAGCTTGAAGCTATAGGGTTAAAGAGAAGGCCTAGATAGCCCATGAATCTGAGATTTTCCAGGACCACTCTTGAAACCAAGGGGTGTTTTACCGATGTCATGTTTTACCGTCATGCTTTTTAAAAAAGTTTAAAAAAAAAAAATTACTTTTTTTTTTTTTTTAAATCTATAATCATAACTCCTGTATAGTGGTTCCACAACATACTTTCAGATCTGTCACTCTGACACTGGAATACCCTATCAGAAAAGTCTAGTGGCTGGGAATGAGCTATTTACATTGTCTGGTTGGTATAATGTTAATGTTGTTTTTGTGTTTAAAAAAAAACAGAAGTGGTATTGGGTCTAAGATGAAAATGTGAATGCTTGAATACAAAAAAAATCAGTTTCAGAAAAAGATGTTTTTAATACATATTAGTAAAAATATTAAACCGCTATTTTATTTCCCCCTCTAAAAAATTGCAATGTTTTGCTCTCCCAACCTTCAACCGTTTTGAATTTCCATAGGCTAGATTTGGGCCACTATGTGATATCATTAAAGGTACTTCCAAAATTGCATACTTATGCAATGTTCTGTTTTGTAGTATGAATAGTGTAAAAAGTGCATTCACACTGCAATGTTTTTATTAAAAAAAATAATAATAATTAAATTATTTACCCGGATCATGCACTTATTCAACCGTTAAAAAGTAGTGAATGCATCAATACAAATAATTTTAGTTTCAGGAAAAGAGATTTTCACATGGATGGATGGACAGATGTTTTTAATATAAATTAGTGAAGATAATAGTCAACTATTTTATTTCCCCACAAAAAATGTAAGAAGAGATAACTTTTTTAATGATTTTGGTATGGACACTGAAATAATGTTTATCTGCTTTTACATTATAAATAAATTGCATTTTAAAATGCATAAAATATATTTTTTCAAATTGAGAGGAAGAAATATTTAAAAAAAGTTGTTTTTTATAAAAGTATTTCATTTTTTATCTTCAGAGGTAAATTTACTAGTATTTTGAACATTACGCTGCTTCATACATCCTTGGATCCAAAATGACCTGGATGTGTTTTCTCTTAAAAAAAATAAAATAATATATATATATATATATATATATATATATATATATATATATATATATACACACACACACACACACACACACACACACACACACACACACACACACACACACATACATACATATTTATATATATACATACATACATATTTATAAATATATATTTATATAATTTAAAAAAATCTTTTCCATGTCAAAATATTGCAAGTTCTAAAATAAGTTTTTAGCAGGGTTTTTTTTCTATTAAATTGCCAATCTTGTGTAGTTGCCAACTGCAGTGATTGTTATAAATCCATTGTTTTTCCACCCCCCACATTAGATCTCCTCTGGAGAGTATATCCAGATGTCAGGACGTGCCGGCAGAAGAGGAATGGACGAAAGGGGAATCGTCATATTCATGGTTGATGAGAAGATGAGCCCTGCAGTCGGCAAACAATTACTGAAGGTAACACACTTAAAATGCTTGTCAATAATAATATGTTTTGGGTAAATTGCTCTCTTTTTCAGCTCTCTTCCCGATTTGTTTGGGTATTTGTTCAGGTGCCAGCCAACATACTGACGCACAAACCCTCTGATCCTAAAACCCTTTATCCCCCTTTAAGCCTTGGCACCCACAGTTTGATTAATACACTCTTTAACATGAAGTCCATAAGCTCTCCTGGTCCTTCAGGAATGCCTGCCAGAATTGGTCTCTCCAGGCTCCTGCTCAGCCCCCCCAACCCCCGGCCCGCCCCAGTGAGGCTTGCATTGCCACATCCCATCCCTGCTTGGGGTCCATTATAGTCTTGCTCAATGCATTTGCCTGCATCCATTATGGCTCTTCTGTAAAGCTTCCAGAAGAATACTGGGAAAGCGATGTCAATGACTCTACTGGCACGCTAGTAGTGGCTTCTCATTTTTCTCCTCTGGGTCTGAGTTGCAAAATCGGTTGATTAACATGGGGGTAGTCATGGGGCTTTCTCACGGTTTGTGTGGTCAGTAGTTTTTTTGTTTTGTTATAAAAAGACTCCTCTCAAAGATGAGAATTTGCTGTATATTTACTCACTCTCAGGTCATCGAAGATGCGTTTTTTTCTTCAGCGGAGCATTAAAGAGTTTTATTACTGAAATAATTTTTATTGGTGATTTGTAAAATGCAAGTTAATGGTTGAGTCAAAAACCCACACAGGCAAAACAATTAAAGTGAAAATTAAGTCGTTTAATTACTTTCATTTCATTCCAAACCTGTTAGAACACAAAGGAAGATATTTCTTTGTGATGTTATTTGTAACATAATCTTAGGGCTCTATTTTGACGATCTATGCACAAAACGCAGGGCGCAAACGCTTTCAGGGTGTGTCAGGATGCGTTTTTGCTAATTTAAAGACGGAAATCTGCCTTGCGCTTCGGCGCATGGTCTAAAAGGGTTGAGTTTATTTTCTTAATGAGTTATAGGTGTGTTTTGAGAATAAACCAATTAGAATCTCATCTCCCATTCCCTTTAAGAGTCAGCTGCGTCGCGCCAAGAGCCCATTCGCTATTTACAGGACGTAAAGTAAGTCTAAGTGGAAAAAATTAGCATTTCACAAGCAAACAGTTAACAGTTTATTAACAGAAAACTGTTAAACAGAGCATCTACTGCATGAGAATGAGAGATAATGGATCACTTTCACTTTCGCTCTTGGATAGGGAAACCTTTACGCACAGACATCAATTAGTCTATAAATAAATACTTTTGTTCGTTAAGCGCAAATATTTGTTTCAAAACTATTTCTAAATTCAGTTCTAATTTCCAGCAAACGAATAAATGAATAGTGTTTTAGTTATATCCTAAAACACATGCTTTGCCCCATATGGTCTAAAACCTGACAGGTGGGCAAATCTAAGCTTGTTTTTAATAAAATGAATATAAATATGGATATAATAAATAATACTGCTAATAATAATAACATTATACAAAAGCAAATTGTTATGAATGAACTGAAAAAGCCTCCCGAGATGAAGAAGACATAAAAGCAGTGGTTTTTCATATTTATATAGGCTAGAAAATAATATGTTTTGTAATATTTTAATCCTTTATATTTATATTCTATATCTATTCTTAATATATCCTATATATATCCTTAATATTTACATTTTTTTAATATGTAAAGATATTTGTCTATTGCTCTCTTGTGCGTATTAAGCAGTGCGTAAGCGAGACGCAAGTTTAGACCGGGTTAGACCGGAGTTTAGACCGGGTTAGTTTTGGTCTAATGAAAAATCTATTATAGTTTCTCAAAATAGCAACGCGCCAGCGGTCCGCCTCAGAACGCCTTCCTTTTTAGACCAGAATGCCTATGAGCGCACAAATGAGCGCTAATGCATTTGCTATTTAAACAGCGTAGCGCAACACCTCAAAACGACTCTTGCGCCAAGCTGAAACTACCAAAAGACTACTGCGTCATGCCTTGCGCCACACTGCGACGGGTGTATGATAGGGCCCCTAGTTTGTTTTTCGAAGATGAACGAAGGTCTTACTGGTTGTAAATGACATAAGGGTGAGTAATTATTAATAAAATATTCATTTTTGGATGAACCTACCGTTTAATGGCTCTTGATGATACACTGAGGTCTTATGAATTGAAATGATCAGTCTGTGAAGGAAAGTACATTATTTATAACATTAGGTTCTTGATAGTCTAAAGTTGGTATAAACTCACATGAGCTGACTCTGTTATTAGAAGGCATGGATATTAATATTTTTTGGCATATTTGTGCTTATCTGACTTTAGAAATGCTGATAGACTTGCATTTTATGAATCGTAAAAGCCCACAGTTTCAGCTAAAATCTTTTTTTTTATGTTCTGCTAAAGCAAAGACATCACTTACATTTTTGATGGTCTGAAGGTGCATAAAGTAACCGCAAATGTTCATTTTTTGATTGAATTATCTCTTGAATGTGTTCTGTGTGAATGGCTGTGACTGTTAAACTGTAAACTGATCTGACCTCATGTCTTTCTCTCATCCAGTGAGCGACACTGCATTATGTTGGGTTGATTTCATATTTATGATTTATTCAGGAGCCTCTTTTCTTTTTTTAGGGTTCAGCAGATCCTCTGAACAGTGCGTTTCACCTGACCTACAACATGGTGCTCAATCTGCTGCGTGTGGAGGAGATCAACCCAGAGTACATGCTGGAGAAATCCTTTTACCAGTTCCAGCACTACAGAGCCGTGCCTGGCGTTGTGGATAGTAAGAACTGTTATTAGTTGCATACTTATAAAATGCATACTTTTAGTGGGAAATTGTAGCTGTGCTGATTTCTGTTAATAGATATGACAAATCATGCAGGTACTGGGCTACACCGATCAACTTGAAATATCTGAAATAATGACAATATAAACATTTAATATAGGCTCACTGTAATGATTCTTAAGACATATTTATAATTAAAGAAGAATTCGTTGAAAGTCCTGTTATTATTTACTCGTTCTCCATTGTTTTTTCAATCCTATATGAGCTTCTTTCTTCTTTTAAGCACACACATATATATTTTGAAGAGTTTAGGAAACAAATAGCCATTGACTTCCATAGTATTCTCTTTCCTAGCATTGACATTAATGGCTACAGGTTTCCAACTTAAAAAAAAAATCTTTAGCGTTAAACAGAAAAAACATAAATGTAATTAAGTCTGAATGTTTAGTTTTTGTTTGAACTGTGCCTTTAAATTTGTATTAGCTTGTTCATTAGAAGTATTACTTAAGTCATTGGTTTTTCACAGCCTTTAAAAACAGTTGGATGTTGTTTTTCTTGCTTTTGTTTTATTTGGTAATTCTGTGATTCTAACAGGGATGAAAAAGCTGGAGGAGGAATATAACGCCATACGAATCCCCAAGGAGGAGAGCGTGGTGACCTACTACAAGATTCGCCAACAGTTGGCCAAATTGGGCAAAGAAATCGAGGAGTTTATTCACAAACCCAGATACTGCCTGCCCTTCTTACAGCCAGGCAGACTGGTCAAGGTAAAGTTCCACTAAATATCATCTTAATCAAGCCAGCAAATTGTTGTGGAGATTATGGATATTCCAAATAAACATTTTTTTTTCTTTTCTTCTATATTAAGGTAAAAAAAGAAGATCTGGATTTTGGTTGGGGTGTAGTCGTCAATTTCCAAAAGAAGTCAAATGTCAAGGTACTGCCAAAAGCTCCCTTTTGCTTGAAATGAAAAATATATAATAAGAGACTTTGAGGAATCAAATTTAAAATCTCATAAAAAAAATGGCTACACCATATTTTAAATTATATTTTACATTATTAACAAACTTTAGCTCAAACTTTTAGTTCAACAAACTAATTATTAGCTGTTTATTAATAAGTAGTTAGGTAGTAGTTGGGTTTATGTATTGGGTACCATTAGGGATGTAAAATAAGATCCTACTTTATGAGTGCTAATAAACAGTTAATTTCTATAATAATAGACAGGTTATAAGCCAGTAGTAAATGCTTTGAATTGTTATTTTACCAAAACAAGTGAAGTCTGTTTACTTGGTGGCCATGCTTTTGACTTATGTTGCATTCAAAATAACTGACTTTGAATTTAGAATTCATGCCTATTAGAAATGTGTTTTGCATAGTATGAATGTGAGCATAATGAATGAAATTCTGATGTACTATATATCTGCCATGTTGTCATCACACAGCGAAAAAGCATCAGTTGCATTGTTTCTCTTCCGGTAATACATTTTCATTCATAGGCTGAGGCTTTATTGGGTAGTAAAGTGTCTATTAAAAAAAAATCACAATCTTGCTTTAAAGTGATATTTCACTCAAAAATGAATAATTTATTTTCCCCTCATAAGAAAGAAACTTAATTTGAACAAGTGAAGGGTGAATGAATTGACAATTTAAATATTTTGGGTGATCTACCGCTTTAAGTAGTAGGTTTTCTAGGAGGTAAAAACAGTTGGATCCTCCTAATGGTGTTAAAAGAGTCACATACTGTATTTATAAGGTACAATTCACCATAAAATATCATTCTGTCTTCATATAATGATGTATTGGCGGCCGCAAAATCAAACATGACGCGAGCTGACCGTGAGCTGTTACTACAGAGGGCGGACTATGATAGACACGTGCGTATGGCAAGCCGTATTAGCATTTAAACCTTTGTTCTGACTATCCATAAATATATTTAGAGATCTCTAATTATATTTTGACTAGTCATAATTATAATTCGACTAGTCAGAATGACAATTAGAGATATCTGCAATTACAATTGTACTAGTACGAAATCAGATTGGAGATATCTGCAAATATATTATGACTAGTCATATTTCTCCATTGACTTCCATTAAAAAAATATTTGCAGATATCTCTAAATGAGTTTTGACTAGTCACAATTGTAATTAGAGATATCTCCAAATGAATTTAATTAAATATGAATTAAATATATTTATGGATAGTTAGAACAAAGGTTTAAATGCTAAAACGGCTTGCCATACACGCGCGTCTGCTTCAGTGAACAGAACCTGCAGGTTGTGACTAACAGGCAATAAAGTAGTAAACAACATTCAGTTTGTGGAACAGAGTGATCAGTGCAGTGGAAATGAAACCGAAAACGTACACGTTATTTAAACAATCATATCGCATTTTAGAGTTATGATTACGACGAGCATTAACCGTTTTGAGTACAGAGGTACACAAAAATGCACGTCAACATGATACACTTGATAGCGCCGACATCAGCCATGCCGAAGAAATAGTAAACCTGCCTAAACTGCTGAAAAGAGCCACGACTGACCTGTGTAATGAAAAGACCGCCACCCTGTCACTCATCATGCCCAACATGAAGACAGCCATCCATAAAAACCTCTCAGACAGATACACATAAGTTCAGGATTATTTTATAGAACTGCTGATTACCTGGAAATGTGGATTTTTTTTTTTGCACACACAAAAAACGCAAGTGACCAAGCAAAGCCTTAAGCTCTTAATGTTAAATTCAATTGAATAGAAAGCTTATTTTTTTTGCACCTTTACTTAAATTGTTCCTTGATTTTGTCTCTGTCATTTCAATGATATTTTTTAAGAAGTTTTTAAATTGTTTTATTATCCAGAGACAGGCCTGTTCAATTTATTTTTTAAAGGTTTAGTTTAACAAGTTGAAACAAAAGAAATACATAAAGTTTACTTGGTAAAATTTGCATTTCAGTTTAATTTTCAATTTTTATTCCAAATATCGTGATACATATCGAATCGTGAACATTATATCGTGATACACATTGTATCGTGAGCTGAGTGTATCGTTACACCCCTAATGTCCGGCTGTTTGAACTCTTGAATCAAATTTTAACATGGCATGTTTTTGTTCACAATGTCACGTTAAGAATCAAGATTGTGATTGCTAAATTCTGATTGTGATGCAGAAGGAAGTGTAACGTTTGCTCTTTGTGTTGCTGTAGGCTGGCGGTGACCTTGATCCACTGTTTGTGGTGGAAGTTCTGGTTCACTGCAGTAAAGACAGCGTGAAGAACGCCGCCACGGAGTCAGCCAGACCCGCTGGCCCTGCAGAGAAGGGAGAGATGCAGGTGAGAGAACGACATGGGGAGTTTGATGGAGAACAGGCCTCTGAAACTCCACACCAGATTAGATTTTATGCAAAAACATTACTCGCCTCAGGCATGTGCAGGAAACCACCAAACTAGACTGAGATCAGAGGCCAGGACTATAAAACATGCTGTCTGAACTTGCATGAAAACCACCAAGAGTACTTTACAGTGCAGTAAAATCTTAATATAGATGCATATTTTTCCTCCATTATAAACCATGTTTTTATTTACATCTTTACCGTGATTTACAGGGGATACCCTGTAAAATGTCATCTAGTTTATATACAAAAAATATCTTAAAGAATCATTTGTTGACAAACAGAAAACTTTAATCGTGGTTTTTAAATCTTTTTACTTTGCCATCTTCCTAAAATATTCTATGTTTCATCTTTTAGTCAATTATGAATCATTTGATATATATTATCATTTATATGATCATTTGAAAATATAATAATTTTGAATGATTACATAAGTTTTATCAAATTAAATAAGACAGGCCAAGATAAGTGTCATTCAGGTATGCATTTTCCAAATAACGGCATAACACGCGGTTGGATTATAATAGTATAATGCTTAGTTTGGGAAATGGACGATGTAGTGACCAGTTTCCCAAATCAATAGCTGCTTTGTGCATAGCTGATCCATTGTTGAACTGTTAGTAAAAACGTAAAACATTCGCAATGGTACTTTTAGACGGGGTGGACTAACAACTTCAGGGGAAAAAAAACACAGACTTTTTTGTGCAAATGATATTGTTTTACACGAATGCATTGAAGAAAATGCATTTATTAGTTTTGGTAAAAACATGCACTCATTTTTCTTATTAATTAATTAATGTAAACGACATGTATAGGACCAAATGTATGTTTTCTTTACAAGTATTATTAAGAATATTCCATATAAAATTTCTAAGCTAACACATTCTAATCTTATAAATAAATCATATAAATCGTTCACTGCATCAAAATATAAATTTAATGTAGGCTATTTATTAAGAAATGAAAAAAATCCTACTTAATAATAATAATTATCATTATCATTATTATTATTATTATTATTCTTAAGTGGGATATTGTTTATTTATTATTATTTTTATACATAACAGGGAATAGAACACAACTAGGAACTGGTTCTAACTGCAGCTCTAGAGGTGTAGTTGCAAGTGTACAAGTTTGTGATGCAGTTTGCGAATTCTCATTGGAACAATGGATTTGGAAAACGGCAAATCAACGAACTACGTTTGTAACGACGAACTTGCGACCTTGGTTAGCTAACGATGGTTTTCAGAAACACACCCCAGAAAGGATAATGATTAAAACTCATCAAAGCTAGGAACTGGTTTGGTTTAAGATTAGTGGCATGTAATTATTCATAATTTAGTGCAGGGGTCACCAATCTCGGTCCTGGAGGGCCGTTGTCCCTGCAGGGTTTAGCTCCAACTTGCCTCAACACACCCTCCTGGATGTTTCAATTATACCTAATAAGACCTTGATTAGCTAGTTCAGGTGTGTTTGATTAGGGTAGGACACCAGCTCTCCAGGAACAAGTTTGGTGAGCCCTGATTTAGTATATTTACTACATGATTCAAATATATGGCATATGCAAATATATGTAGAAACACTGAGTAATATAGTGTTACCAGCATTTCTGTGTAGCTTTGTATTTATTATTAAGTATTTATTTATTATTGTATTTATCTTCGTTAGGTAAAAAAGCTATTCAGTTCCAATATTTGTATTTATATTTGTTATACATTTACCTATATACTATAACTTGTATTTAAAGGGCATAATTTTATTGAAAATAATTTATTCATAGTGCTTAAAAACAAATTTAGTTGTAAGTTGTTGCTGCCTTTATTGCACTGTTTTAAATTATATTACAAGATGCAAAAGTGAAAGCAAGAAAAACGGAGCAGCAATAATTATTTGACCAGAGTGATTATTATGGTGCATGAGCATTCAGTTAACATTTTTAATTTGGAACTTGAGTTAATTATTTGCATACTTTAATTTATATCCTTTAAAATATCTAAAATGATTTTCAGAAGTTTAGCAAACAGGGACAGCATCAAGTTATTTCAGTCAATATAAATATAGATTAATGCTATGGCAGAATGAATTTAATCCTGATCAAATCCTTAATCTCCCCTTTTTCTGGTTTGACTAGGTTTCTTCTGGTTGATAGTAGCATATAAATGTTCTTGAAACAATGTTTTCTAGAAAAAACTTCTCAATGCAGACTTTGTGTGGTGGTTTTCCTCTTCTGACCTATTTCCTCCAGTGTTAAGTGATTTAGCCAGAGCTCCAGAGGTTTCACCGCTGAATGGCTTTAGCTGATGGCTCTTGTTTTTCTTCCTCATAAACTCTGCTTTATGTCTCCGCGCGTCCCGCTGAATGTGTTTAGACTGACCCTCTGCTTTTGCTCATATAAGGCTGTGAGGTAATGTTGTGTTTGTGCTTCAGGTCGTTCCTGTGATTCTTCATCTCATCACCTCTATTAGTTCTGTGCGCCTCTACATCCCTAAAGACCTGCGGCCCTATGATAACCGGCAGAGCATGCTCAAATCCATACAGGTCAGCACTACATTTACTACACACAGACACTACATAAACTGCCCACATTATTTCTCATCTTTTCATTGCATCACAGCACTACTAATAATAATTTAATCCTTCACACCATTGTTCATAATTTCCTATTTAATTGTGTTTTATTTACTAGCATTTCTTACTTTAATGGTGTACTATTTACATCATTTAAACTTTTTATTTTTTTTGTGGCATACCAACTACAAATTAATTTTTTTACAGCAAACTACTGTAAATATTCTTAGTTTATTATTTTTATGCTATATATTTAAAACATTTTTTTAAATACTTGAAATAAAGTATTTATTTTAGTGCGCTTATATCATTCATTGTTTCTTTTAATACTTGTCATATAAATAACAAATTCGTTGTCATACCAATGGCTCTACGCATTATTTTTTATGACAAGCTTTAGCATTATTTGGGATTACTTCTCACATTATTTCACATTTTATCGCAGATAATGACATTTAATCTGGTTTTGTCATTTTCATTTAATTTGCTTATTTATCTGCCACATTATTATTTATCTACCTTTTAAATGCCTTACTGCTCTAACTACATTTTTGATGTCATACTAGCTTAATTGTTTATGGCATACTAGCACCACTAATCTAAATTTTAGCATACTACTCATGCAAATTATGATTTCTTGGCATACTACACTCACTACTGTTATAATTTGTTATACTGCCCACTCTAATTATATTTTTATTGGCAAACTACTCACTATATTATTTGTAAAGGGATGGTTCACCCAGAAATGAGGATTCTTTTACTCACTCCACTTATCACATACCCGTTTAAATTCTTCTTATAATGAACACAAAAGAAGATTGACTTCCAAATGTTTTGTTTTTCTGCTATTGATGTCAGTGCTTACGGGTTTCCAACATTCTTCAAAATATCTTTTTTTGTTTAAAACCGAAAAGAAACTCATAAATGTTGTGGGTGAGTAAATAATGAATACATTTTTATTTTAGGTGTGAAGTATTCTTTTAAAGTCACTACCCATTTAATTTATGATAATATATTTTATTTATAGTGTGCTTTTCTCAGAACCAAAGCGCTAACAGGCATATAAGGCAAACAAACCAGAACAATAAAAACAGTAAACAAAAAGACCACAATAAAATATGATTGATTCAATACAATTGGATGATAAAATTAACAACAAAAAAGAATCAATCCAAGTTAAAAGCAACAGTAAAAAGGTGAGTCTTGAAGTTTCTTAAAACATTCCAGAGAAACGGCATTCCTGATGCTGATGGGTTGGCCATTCCATAACTTTTTGGCACTGTACGAAAAAGCACGACCACCCATAGTCTTCAGTTTACAGCGTGGCTGATACAACAAAAGTCCGGATGAAGATTGAAGACTACGCGTAGGAGTGGCCAGAGTTACCAGGTCACAGATGTAGTCAGGTGCCAGCCCATGAACTGTTTTGTATGTTAAAATCAGAGTCTTGATGTTCTACTAGCATTCTTTATTTTTTTTATCTTTTGACATTACATGTACTGCTCATTTTTCTGGGCACATTGCTTGCATTAATAATTTTATTAAGTAATTGACATTTTCACTTGAGAACTATTTACATTGTTTATACATGCCACTTAATTTTTATGACACTAAACCGTATCCCTACTACTTTGGTCGCATACCTCCTCACATTCTACTACACTAAGTGTGGGCACATGAGCTAGTATTCCATCCCAAGCATAACAAACAACTTAATCTGGTTAATCCTGAACTCTTCCCAAGACACACTCCTTTTAAATTCGACCCATTTGATCTCAATTAGCTGCGAATGCTAATCTGCAGCTGTTTTTCTTGTTGGAAGGTGTCGAATGATGGCCATTATAATAATTCAACAGATTTGAAAGATAAAAGCATGGTTTGTTTCTCTTTTTCAGGAGGTGCAGAAACGTTTCCCAGATGGGATACCGTTGCTGGATCCCATAGATGACATGGGAATCAAGGATCCCGCCCTGAAGAAGGTCATCCAGAAGGTGGAGGCATTCGAGCACAGGATGTACACGCACCCGCTGCACAGCGACCCCAACCTGGAGGCCGTTTACAAACTCTGTGAGAAGAAAGCGCTGGTGAGTTCACTGGAGAATTAGGGCTACAGAGCTTCTTTTTATGGCCTGTTACAATTGCTGTTTTTTATTTAGTTTAATTTTCATTTAATTTAATATTATTTTTTTTCAATTTTTATTTTATTTTAAATTGTATTTGATTTAAAATTTTATATTTAATCAAATTTTTTAAGAAATCTGTTAAAGTAAAATAATTTTCCTTGTGGTTATTTTAAGCGCAACATTTAGTATTATCTTTTTAAGGCAAAAGATACATCTGTCTTGATATATATGATATATATATCTATCTCAGAGAAAGCGTTAGACTTTCTCTGTCCAACATTTTGACGGAGAGGGTTTTCGAAATTTCCGTTATAACTTATTATTGATCGTTATTTAATTTGCAGACTTTCTGATTGCTTTTTTTCATTTATGTTATAATAATGAAACTTGCATGACTAGCATATAGACTAAATTTTTCATTTATTTATTTGACAAATGAACAAAAACTCCTATCTGTCATAACTCATATCTTCCTCCTGCGTCGACCTGAACTGGGTGCTTGCCCGTTGCTTAATCAAACGCATCAAGAGAGACTGTCTCTGCCTCAAAGTCGACTTCTAAGGCTGCGATCAGAAAGTTTGCTGGATTCTCTCTATGTTCGATTTCCCGATCCTGCAAGCACTCGTTTCATCAGGAAAAAATACTACAGCATGCCTGTACCAGGGGCACGGCTGCACCCCTCTGAGTCCGGTAGTGCTCACAACGCACCCCAGATAGCAAAATATACTCGGGTCAGTTCCGGCTAGATTCTCGCCTGCCGGAGACTCCAATCGGGCCAGATGTGGCAGCTGTAAGCAAGCCGACGCTGCCGCATCCGAGCCAGAATCGGCCCGCGAGTAATGTGTGCTGCGGCCCGGAGCTGGCGCGACTCAGTCTTCATATACCTTCATATAAAACCTTTTGTTATTACATTGGTACTTGATACATGGTATTACAACCATTTGAGTTGATAAACACAAAGTGTAGGCACTGCGTTTAACCTTTGAACAAAATGTGAACAGCATACATATACGATAACGAAAATAATCAAACAAAGGACATAATAAATAATAAACGTTTATTGATTGCAAGAAACAAATAATATTAAAAATAAATAAATAATTTTGTAGTGCACAAGAACATCAATATAAAAACAGTAAACCTGACCTCCTTGCTAGCTGCCACTTGGTTGGATCGTATTTTCGTCTGTTTGTTCTTCATCGTCCACTGCATCACTTCTATTCACTGCATCACTTCTACTTCTATATCACAACTATTTGGCCGTTTAAAGAAACTTCTCACACTCAGCTGCTGTGACATTTTTGCAACTGAACGCAGCGGTGACAGAGGAGACAAAACGAGCAATCGCCATCAGCTGGACAAGAGTGAGAATTACAGTTAGCTACAAGTTACAATAGATCACCCTCAGCATAATCCGTCAAAATGACGGATCACCGTCAGATTTTTGGCTTTGAGAAATGTACTAGTTGCGAAGTAGAATCAACTTTTCTTAACAACTTTGTAAATCTACCACAACCTAATTGTTCAAGATCCTAATTCAGTCTACAAGTAGTGTCATTGTCACGTTGTTTGAACTTGTAGGGTTAAACATTTCTGACATTTGGGCTGCATAAGATTTACCTTTTTTTCTTTTTTAGTCCAAATAGCATGTGAGGTCTCAACCCTCTTCTGGAGCTCATTTGCATTTAAAGTGTAACACCAAAAAACACTGTTTGCTCACAACCAAATAGAGGCAAATTTGACAGGCTGTAAAGATCTGCAAGGTATTATAAGCTGAAACTTCACAGATAGGTTCTCAACACAACAAAAGCCCCTTTCACACAGTGATACCGGTAAATATCTGGAAAATATCCGGAACGACTTTACCGGTATATTCAAAAAAGCGCTGTTCACACGGGCGAGGACGTTACCGAAATTTTCCGGAAAAGAGCATTCACACATCCATTCGAAAATACCGGTAAATTCTGACATCATTCACCACAAATGAGCTTTAAACGGCTGAGCTTGTATTTGTAAACATTTGACTAAATTACAAACTCTGTGGATGATCAATATTGTGAACAACTTTCTCAGGATCACTTTCGCATGTCGAGATGTTCAAAATATGTGCGTGTGCAGGCGCTCACAGGCTGTTTCACAGGCACACGCAAAGCTTGAAGGTAAACAAACAACGGCTTATCATAAGCATCTCATCGATGATTATTTACACAGTTGGCATTAAGAAAAACATATAAACGTGATCTGACTAACTTCTAGCAGCTAAATGTGTCTGGAAAAATATTCAAAGGCTTTTATTCTCATAAACCGCGCGGACGTAAATGCGTCTGACTGTTGTGATTGGCTAAAGCAGACGTCTCACGTCAGCACGTTCTAGACGTGCACGCGCTTATTCTGGCAATCTTCCTTCTGCATTCACACAGCGCAGCATTCCGGCAAATTGCCGGTATTGTTACCAATTCTCTTTCCGGAAAAAACGAAGCCAGAACGAATTTTCCGGTATTTTCAAAAAGGACCTGTTCACACATACAACCTTTCCGGAAAATTGCCAGCAATTTTCCGGAAAGGTCTGTATGTGTGAAAGGGGCTAAAGATTTATATATTACATCTTTTGAAAAAAGGCTTTTGTCATGTCTCTTTTACTCGACAAAAAAACCTGATGTGCACAGCAAGAAAAACTACACCAAAAAAGCTGGCACGCAAGGATGATTTTCGAGCCTATTGCCAAGGTTAAATGCCTCCTGACTAAACAAAGGGTGCCAATGTGAGTGTGAACATTATCGCGGAAACACCAAATAAATAAAAGCGTCATTCAAAAACAAGACAAAAACTTTTGATGATGTTGCCACTTTTGTTGTGCACTAATGCACAAAACAGTCTATCCGGAATTTTAGGAATTTTAGATGTAATAGGATTTAATGGCGAGTTTAATTTCACTTACATTATTTCCATAGAGAAGGTTAAACAGAAATGGTTAAACATCCATGTGCATGAGCCTTCAGCTTTGTTTTCATTACTTATTTACCATATAAAGCATATGCATGAAGTGTTAATCATGTAAAACTTTCCATCCATTGCTATTGACTTATAATTATTGAGGTTTTCATGACATCTGCATGTAGGATGTGCGTAAATGCACAGATGTCACGATGGATTGATATAAATGTCATCTGTGTTCATGAACACTCTGTTTATCTGAAATACAGCTCTATTGTTTGACGCACTAGAAAAGGGTGGGTTTCACTTCCTGCGACTGAAATCTTGAAGGTCCACAAGAACCAAACAAAAGCGGGAAGCTGGCTTTAGTTCAGGGTGAATAGGTGCTCAAATCGGATCATAGATGATCATAAGGCCACATAGTTGCTCGTATTGTGCTGTGGTATTAAGGGGATCAGTGTTTTTGTTTTAATTTGTTCCCTGCAGGCATTTGTGCGTTGGTTATTTTTGTGGTTGGATTGTGTGATCTGGAATAAAATGGTCAGATGTGTTATGGGGGCTTGGAATATCCTTGCAGACCAGATTGTTGACTAGACTGCTGGTTAGATTTATTTTATAAAGTTTTTTAATCTACACAGATATCATAATGCTGCATTATCATGGGGAATGTTTTATTAACCAAATAAAACTTTTTTTTATTACTTTCTTATTTTATTTAGTTTCAGCTTGAGAAGTCTAGTACAAAATGTGTAATTACATTTTATTTGTAATACAAATGTGAAATTTTTTTGTTGTGCATAGTACAACAAACATTTTTGAAGATTTTTTAAGTATAAGTCTGAGATTTACTTCAATTTAGTTGTGCAGATAGATAGATAGATAGATAGATAGATAGATAGATAGATAGATAGATAGATAGATAGATAGATAGATAGATAGATAGATAGATAGATAGATAGATAGATAGATAGATAGATAGATAGATAGATAGATAGATAGATAGATAGATAGATAGATAGATTGATTGATTGATTGATTATATACATATTAGGGATGCACCAATATGGATTTTTTTGGCTGATACCGATAACCAATAACTCTTCAGACTTGGAGGCCTATATATATATATATATATATATATATATATATATATATATATATATATATATAGGAAGATAATTATAAATATTTCAAAATGTTATATCTTTATACAGCAAACTTCATAAAAGATTGAGCTGCTCTTATAAACTGAATAGTCTATACTCAAAGCAAAAAAGCTATTTCAAAATTGCAAGGTGATTATATAGATGCAACTTGACTGTTGAATAAAAATAATAGGTTAAAAAACGAAATGGGATTTGATCAACAATCAAGTTAAATATATTTTAAATAAGATGAAAATGAAAGAGCTAAGACTGAAATCAGCTCAAATGATCTTGAATAAAACATGTTACAATGATGTACACATGTACAAATATGTCATTTCTGAAAAAGCCTTTTTTTAGATGTGTTTTGACAGTTTAGAGCCATCGTATAAGTAAACAGCTAAATACAGACAGTACGTTTTAGTATGTTTAGAAAATCCGGCACAGATTTATCGTATTTGGTGTTTTAAATTCTTTTGAACACATGTAACTGCAGTGCTTGTCCACCAGACAACGCTTCTTTGTTCGTTCTTGCTGTCAATTGCGGGAAAAATGATCGATAAAAAGTTTATGATAAACCGCTGTGAGTTTAAATCAACTGCAGGTGCAGAGTTGCCATCACAGTCAGAGTTTGATACAAAACCTGCATTGAGCATGACTTTGACAAACACAGTGCATAATATAAAGACAGAATGTGCGGCGAGTTGAGAGCCCCTATGACTGGATTCACCTCTCCCACGTGCTAGTGTTTGTGTGCGTACGCGTGGGTGTGCGGTGACGGCTCTCATGCGCGCTCGTTATAATCAATATGAATATTTCGATCAAACTGAAAACAATCTTACATCAACAACACATGGCAAGCAACGCATTGATAATAACCAATACTCCTATTAGATTGCAAACGACTTATGTTTACACGTGTTGTAAAATGGGCGGGTTCTTTAAGGGACGGGGCTGCAGTTTGGTGTGGGTGTGTGTGTGTGTGTGTGTGTGTGTGTGAAGCGAAGAGGAAGAGAGATAAAAGGTATGGTTTTTTCGCAATGAGACTATTTTCATTGATGTTTCCTCTTTGGGGACTGATTTGTTGTACCACACGGAAAGTTATAAAGAATTTGGACCAAGTTATATGTGTTCTCGTTCATTTACAAGCTGCAACAAAAAGAGAAGGTAGTTAACCCCAAAACTAATATTATTCGGCGTGATAAGTGAATCTTCCCTGCTATCTCTGAAAACAACAAAGAGACAGGGCAGTAAAGGTTTATACATGTAATATTTTTTTCCTGAGGTGATTTAAAGCAAAATACACTACATCAAACATATCTACAATGATAAGAAACATGGTTACTTACTGAGTTATTAACGCACAGCAACACCACATGAAGAAAGGAAGGACTTTGAAGGAACAAACAATGTGAGAAGAGATCCATTATAATGCACTGGACAGGTCTAAACATGTTCCGCCCACGGCGTGCGCGAGACAGGCAGGTCTGTACATTTACGTAATTTATCGGCTTAAAGATATCGGCCTAATTTAGACATCGAATCGATAATCTTAAAAATAACATTTAACGGCCGATAACGATATGGCCGCTAATATATATCGAGCATCCCTAAAACAATTTAATATAATTTACTTTTGTAAAGATAATTTAAATATTATATTGTAATATTATTAAATAATATATTATTCAATTCTAAAACATTGCCATCTAAAGATTGAAAACCCTGACCTATTAGATTTTACAATGCATAATTTATGCCTTTTTTTTTTTTTTTTTTTTTTTTTTTGCAAAATTTTATTCATCAGTTTCTGTGGTCTGGTCATTTTTTAGCAATTAAAAATAAATAAAAAAAATAAAAATACTCTTGGTATTTTCTGGCTTACATTGAGACCCAATTGTTCATTGAGCTCATGTCCTGAATATACTGAATATAGGTCATGACATTTAAACACATTAGCATTATAAAATTAATCATGATTGGGTGGCAAATGCAGAAGAGTTTATTGTGCGTGGTTGGAATGCGGTGTGGAGGAGTGAGAAATTCCTGCCCTTTTTGCTTGAACACAATTGAGCTCTTCTCCCATGTCCTGTTTTCAGTCTCTGTCTGAGGGATCTGAGATAAGCTGTAAAGTGGATAATGGCATTAGGGCTGAGGAGTGAATCAACTGCACTGTAGCCAAACAACTTCATTAACCTTTCCCTCCAGACTGATACCAGCTATCTGATATCTTCAATGAAAGGACGCTAATTATAATATTAACTAGTTTACCTTCAAATAATTTGGTCAGCTGTTTAATCCACTCTAATCTCATTACAGTTGAGTGCTGTTATCTTGAATAATGTGATAATACCAATAATACAAATGAAAAATAAAACAAAGGCTTTGAGACACTACTTTTAGAGATAAAAAAAAGTTACAAATACACAAGCAATGAAATATTGTTGGCGAACAATAGCAATACATGACTGTCATATGGGAGTAAACATAGAGGCCACTTAAATCTCGGAATGCTACAAATTTGCAGAGAGGCATAAGTAGGATGCAAACGAACATAAGGGGAAGAAAAAGCAAAAGATTTTTTGTCTTCAGTAGGCTGGTTTCTATCCTAACGGAAAGCTAATATTTTCACAGTTCTCAAAAAAAAATTTAAAATTAAAATATTGAGTGTTTTCTCATCAATTTGCTGAAGAGGCTGACTGCAGTATTGGTAACCTAGTAACCGTTGTAATGTTCACCATAATGTTCATGTCAAAAGTGCCTCTCATTATTTGCATTCATTCTTTTTCTCACAAGTTCAAAATTACTATTGCGGTAATTTCAAAACTTGTGACATGTCTACATACACAATAGCAGAGTAATAGAAATCCAGCTAGTCAAGCTTTTATAGAGCTGTCACCATAATACTTAAATCAAATTTTGGGGTATTTTCAATGTCAATTGGAAGAGATACAAAGTAAATTTGAATTTGTTCACACAGAGGCATCATTACAAAGTTTCTGATCTGTATCTGACAAACTATCACGTGCTGTACTATGAAAGTTAATCAAATAAGAAAAAATAATAATAAATCTGATTCTATGTGGTTTGGGCTGTTATGGGTGTTAAAGTTTAGGTCACTTGCTTGAAATTGAGGATAGCCTTGGGTCTATTTGTTACAAGTGATGTCAAGTAGCCCACTTCTTGTTTATCCTCAGTTATATTTGGTGTTTGTCATACAGTGAAAATCGAAAAGCTTGTTTCCAAAAATTTAAATTTGTGGTGTTTTTTTTTTCTCTAAGAAGAATAGAAGCTTCACAAGAATTGACTCTTGATTGAATTAATGAATTAATGGACTTGTTTTCTATATGGCATCTATAAGTTTGTTGATGTGCATTTCAAAGGACCGCTTTGACTACAAGTATTGGAAAACACTAATGTTTATAGATGCTATTTGTGAAAACTGCTAAAGATGTTTTTTGTAAACCAAATGTGTGTTTTGAGTTGTGACTTTGATTTGAGTTGTGAATTTTTCAAATGTACCAACTTCAGAAATGTAGTTGTCGATACTTAATCTCACACATTAACACACAACCTTTTGCATCTTTGTGTTTTAGATTGCGGGTGATATTAAAGCAGCAAAGCGAGAGCTAAAGAAAGCCCGCACCGTGTTGCAGATGGATGAGTTGAAGTGCAGAAAGCGTGTGCTGCGCCGACTGGGATTCGCTACTTCCTCTGATGTCATCGAGATGAAGGGCCGTGTGGCATGCGAGATCAGCAGGTATGATGCTCATTTGCTGATGCAGCATTCACAGCACAGCACTATTCTGCACTAAAGCAAAAAAAGTGCTTATTTTCAGCACTTAGATTTGTTTCTGAAGTGTCCCGTTGCGCTCTTGTGTTTACAGTGCAGATGAGCTGCTGCTGACAGAGATGATGTTTAACGGCTTGTTCAATGACCTGACGGCGGAGCAGGCCACCGCTCTCCTCAGCTGCTTCGTCTTCCAGGAAAACGTAAGGCCAACATAGCGTCATGCTCTCGCAGAAATGTGGTCAAGATGGAATACGGGGGAAGTCAATAGGTAGTGACAGTTATGGGCCCCAATAACCTGTTGTGTTTGGCTTGAAATGGGGTTATTCAAAGGTCTAGTCTTTAGTTGGGAGAAGCGTGCAAAGAGTGTGCCATGATACTGCAAGTTAATTAATGGAAGTGTGTATCAGTATTCAACTATATAACTGATACCATAGATTCAATATTATTGAAGTTGGAGCTGAAGAGGCCTTTAAAATAACATGTTTTGACTTTGAAAAATGTGAGGTGGGGATTAGTAATAGAGAAACATTTTGCAGAAATGTTTTGATGTGTTTATAGAACACTGTATCATGCAAATTACTGTAAGGGTCCATCTATTAGTCCTATGACGAAACTAACAGCATGGGTGAAGGTTAAATGCATGTAAGCCCTTTAGTACATGTGAAAATAAATATTTTTATTCGTTAAAATTTATTTTAATTTGTTTCCATCTCCGAATTTTAATCTGACTGCAATATATAATAATGTAAAATTTAGATTCATCTAATTCAAGCTAATTACTCTAATTTAGATTGATTAACCTAATAAATCCTTATTTTCAATTAATGGTTCATCGTTTACCTGAAGTCGCTTGGAGTCAGTATGCTGGCCAGTTCATCTGAGTAATAATCTCTAAGTAATAATTGGCCGCCCCATGCTTGCACATACTTAAAAGTGTTTGATTTAGCCCCTAAATTATATCATACTAAGTCAGTGATTGTCTGAATGTATGACTATTCCTGGTTGTAGGCTGCGGATAAATCAGCCTTAACAATCTAATAGATTTAAATGATTTCAGGAGATATTAGAGTCAAACAATAATTTTACATTTATTAGTCACGCAAAGATATTCCATTCCAATTTACATAATTAAACAAAAGCGGTCCCACTTTATATTAAGTGGCCTTAACTAATATGTACTTACACAGGAGTTAATTTGTTTGTTACAATGTACTTATTGTACAAATACATGTATTTGCTGTGTACTGATGCTTGATTAAATACATGTATGTAATTACATCTGTAATTAACTTTTGTAATTACATTTGTAAATACACAGTTGACCATCCCTTACACCTTAACCTACCCTTAAACCTACCCATACCACCAAACCTGTGGATAACCCAACCTCTATCCCAAATCAAAAGCACCACAAGTGTTCTCAAATACATTATAAACACAGTAAGTACATTGTATTTATTTTTTTTGATGTAAGTACAAAGTAGTTAGGGACACTTAATATAAAGTGGGACCAAATAAGCCAATCAAGATTGTACAACATCAATTACATTTAAGAGATGAATACCTTACCATGTAGAAATACATTGCAGCATACAATTCCTGATCCAGAGCTCAGACTCACAAACTGCAATTAGGGTATCCCGACTACAGGATCCCACAGACACCTTTGCACCCTTTGCCTAAATACTCAAATCATCATAAATTCGAGACGATAAAAGCTTCACCAAGACTCTTGCCTGGTCATGAGTTTATGTGAAGACCATTTTCCCTGGAGTGGAGCATCTGGCAACGATCTTATCAAAGTCAAAACCCAAAATAACTAATATAAGGCCGTACTCACACTAGGTACAGTTGCCTCGAACCGGGCCAAAGCACGCTTGTCCCCCCTCCCGTCTCCCCCGACGGCCCGCGCTCACACCATATCGGGCCTCGGCACGCTTACGTCATCGCTGCTGCGCTGTTCAGAAGCGCTCTCTATGGCAAGCCTTTTTAGCATTTAAATCTTTGTTCTGACTCCATAAATATATTTAGAGATATCTCTAATTATATTTTGACTAGTCATAATTATAATTCGACTAGTCAGAATAACAATTAGAGATATCTGCAATTACAATTGTACTAGTACGAAATCAGATTGGAGATATCTGCAAATATATTATGACTAGTCATATTCCTACATTGACTTCCATTGAAAAATATTTGCAGATATCTCTAAATGAGTTTTGACTCGTCACAATTGTAATTAGAGATATCTCTGAGTTTTTACTAGTCATAATACATTTGGAGATGTCTTTAATTCATCATATTTAGAGATAGTTACAAATATATTTGAAGATATCTCTAATTAATTTACTAATAGTCGAATTACAGTTGTAGATATCTTGAATTGGATTTTTGACGAGTCAACTCATTTAGAGATATCTGCAAATATTTTTCAATGGAAGTCAATGGAGGAATATGACTAGTCATAATATATTTGCAGATATCTCCAATCTGATTTCGTACTAGTACAATTGTAATTGCAGATATCTCTAATTGTCATTCTGACTAGTCGAATTATAATTATGACTAGTCAAAATATAATTAGAGCTCTCTCTAAATATATTTATGGATAGTCAGAACAAGGTTTAAATGCTAAAACGGCTTGCCATACGCTCTCACTAAGCAGCACAGTGGAGATTTCTCTAGTTATATCGTTTCAGTCGTTTGATATGCCGTCAAATATTTCGCCAAACAGTCCTTAGGGATGCGGGGACACGAAGTCAGATATTTCGCCGAACAGATCCGCCACTTTTGGCACTCATAAACAATCATTAAGCTCTCGTGCTGCAGGAATGAGGAGGTTTGCTGAAGGCGCGCAGCTGGCGTGCTGTGAGGAGTTTGTGTCTTTAATAAACTACGGCAGTTTGCGTTCACTGAACAGTAAGAATGATTAATAAATCCATATCAAACAGTCCTTTAAAAGTCACGTCTCGCTTTCGGTTTCGGGCTTTGGCGCGTTTTGTACTCACACACAAGCATACCGCGCCAAAGCCCAAGTGTACCGCGCTCATGCACACCTCTCCCAACCGGGCCAGGGCCGGCCAAGTGAACTGTGCTTGAGCGCGATTCAGCGCACTCACACTTCTCAAACGATCCGGGAAACGGGCCTGGGCACGGTACGGATGGCATAGTGCGAGTAGGCCCTAAGAGAGATTGTAAAATATTACATTGAAATTAGGACCACATTACCAATAACACAGTGACATTTAAAATGACACCAAACATGAATATAAAGCCAAAAGATACACCATATAAAAACTTAGACATTCTGTGTGAAATGTGAACCTGAACATGAACAACTGGTTTTCTAGCTGATATTCTTCTCAGATTAGAAAGTTTCATGTTTTAGTGCCTGACCATTCTCATGGTCTTGTCTCGTGTGGAGGTCCATAACAGTTTTCAAGGTTTAATATTATGGAGAGATATAGCCATCCTTACATTATAAAAGACAGGAGTACTATAGTTTGTCCAATTTAATGAAAAAGTCGCTCTGTGGAATAGACATATTTTAAGTGAAAGGCTGTGTACACAAATACAAGACACACCTAGTGTAGTTTCAGATCCATATCTTGTTGTAAATAGTCCAAACATGTTAAGTATGGCAGATATAGCATGGGCCATCAGTTTCCTGTCATGTTGTGCCACGCTACATTTGTTGTAGACTCGATGCCATGTTGAGTCTCACTGCTTTTGTGCAGTTTAGACATGGGGAATTTGTTTGGCAGTACAATACTTCAGTTGAGCTTGTAGTTTGCAATATCAAAAACTAGTTTTGCAGATTTATTGTGTTTTGGTCTTGTTTTCAATGTGTCGTCCAAGATTACTACATTACAAGCAAATGGCTTATAAGGATCAAAACACTTGTGTATTTTTATATGTTATTTGTGGAAAAAACTAACTTTTTTTTTTTTGTATACAACAGGTGTACAAACGTATTATGTTTTGTGTTCTTAAATTGGAGGTTGATGTACAAAACTTCAGTTGGGCTTAGTTTGGAGAATCAAAAAACAGTCATGATCTATTGGTTCAAGAAACTACTGTATAAAACTATAAATCTATGGCTTTGAGGATTCAGTTGACTAAGACAAATTTAACATGTGGCACAAAAAAGTGCAAATAAGTGCCACAAACAGATCAACACCATTTGTTGACCCAGTGTCTCGTCTGACCCTGTAGTCCCATTTGTCCTGCATGCTGGTTCATGAAACCCAGAGCAGCTGTTTCTTCTCTTTAGTCATCTGTCACACTGCAGTCATCAGTGGGTGGGATAGACTAGGACAGAAAGTAAAAGTGTTGCACAGAAGACAAAAGAGAAAGCTCTTGAAAGAAGGTATTTTACTATCCCTCTGATAAGATTAAAAGCACACTTTCCTAGACCAAAATCATAAAAACATTGTTGAGGTATTATTTATCCTAAAAATCCAATGATTCCAAAATGTAATTATTTATTTTTTCCTCTTGAACAAAAAATACATTTTGAACAACGTTGGAGACTGGTAGCCTATGACATCCATAGTAGGAAGAAATACCAGTGGCTAGGGCTGGGTGGTATTGCAAAACAAATTATCAAGATATCACGTGTTATATCATTCCAAATCGACAATTATTGCATATTTTTTTAAGAAAACATTTGGGAATATTAGGATTTTTTATTTTTATTTAACCATCTTTTAATTTAACAACATTACGAAGGCATTACTGACATTACTAAGGTTTTAATACTCGCAAACAAAAATATTTAAACAAAGTATCTCATCTCTTTATAATAAAATAAAGAGATTAAAAGTCTCTATTATAAGAAATTAAAGAAAATCGATAAAATGCTACAAAGTGTGTGCAATGGTTAAGGTAGATCAGCATCTGTTAGGTGTGAATAATAATGATACAGTAAACCTCAAACTGTGTAAACAAACTATGAAGGTTCTGAGCTTTCAAGTAAAGGAACCAACCATCATTTTTAAGTACATACTGCAACATTATAAATTGTGAAGTTGGATGACTATATTACCCCTGTGCTAAAAATCTTTCAGAAGAGGAGCTAGTGGCTGGGATGCTTAAGAAAAGAAACCAAAAAGCCACTCTGGCAACATTGTTTTTATTTACAATCTCCTCGCTGAAATACAGAACTGAGTTTCACGTTTTTATTTTCATTTTCTGATTTTCTGATCTGAAGTGACAAGCGCAGGCACGTGCTTTGCGTTTGTCTGGGGTATATAGTCTGCCTTTATTACTGAATTTTGTATATTCCATACATACTGTGAAGCAGATTGGTTAGTTCTAGCGCTTTGGGCATACTGAAGTTTTTTTGTGCTCATTGCTCCCTTGTGCGCATCACGCACCTCCATTGGAAATGACAAACTGACACCCTAAGTTTCTTGGCATTGCTTCCAAAAAGCATGCTCGGCAGCCTCGTTTTAATAAAACTATAGTGCTTTATACCTATTAAAATATCTTCTCAATATATTCAAAATATCTTCTTTTGTGTTCAGCGGAAAGTGGAGAAAGTAATTGGGTTTCATCCATTTATTTATTTTTTTGCACCTTTTGGAGTGTTGCGTATAAATAATAAATGCTGGATAAAAAGCCAAGATTTGCAGAAGTTCTGGATATGCACTTGAAGAAAATGTTGAAAAATTAGTTGGATAAATTTTTCCAATAAGAAAAAATATTATGACAACATATTTAAAGAATACATTTTAGCATTCATATATATATATATATATATATATATATATATATATATATATATATTTTTTTTTTTTTTTTTTTTTTTTTCCCAACAGTCAATGTGATTGGATAACTAGACAACCACTGATCCAATCCCACCTTAAATGTTGTTGCAGTAATTATGCAAATGCCCGAGTGAAAGTCCATCCTCAGTATGATTTTGTATTGTTACCTACAAATTACTCCCTAATTACTTTCACAAACATCAGGCACTGCCTCCAAATGCAAAAAACACATCTTTAGCTCTTAAATTCAACTTATTTACTTTGAAGGACATCTGGGTGAACTGTCCCTTTAGCAGAGACATGTGCTTTGGACGGTGTGTTTGTTCTGATAGTCTCCTTTCATTGCCTTGTATTAATGACTTTGTCTTCATCCACAGGCCAACGAGATGCCCAAACTGACAGAGCAGCTGGGCGGTCCACTGAGACAGATGCAGGTAGGGTATTTGGTTAACCACCACAGAATTCTTCACATTGCAAACTCACTATAACAAGTACTATTTACCAAACAAAGCTTAAACTCTGGCCTCTTTTTGCATTCATGGATCACGCGGATGGGTCAGTCTGATCCTCCAGAGATGCGGTTTGGATCAGCTTGACGGTGTTTTTACTAGAATTGAAGAGTTTCTGTGTGGGCACATGTAGGTCACTTTGATTTCACAACTTCAATAAACTGTTCACAGGAGGAAGCGCTACTAGTGTAAAACAAAAATGATATAATCCAATAAAGGATTTAAAAGGAAGCTCAGAGTATTGCAGTTTGTGTGGCTTAATATAATAAGCATGATTACTTGCAGAAATCTGCTGTAGAAAACATGTTAAAGATAAAAATCTAATTTATTTAAGTCTTATTATTATTGGTGTATTATTATTGGTGTATTATTGGATTATTGGTGGTATTAATGTTTAAATGTGTCTACTAAAAGGCATCAGGGCTAAAATGGAGAGAAGAAAGACGTGGGAAATTTTCCAGATCCAGAGCACAAGATCTGTGATTGGTTGGTTTTGTAGCCATGATAACTGTTAGCTGGGTCAAGAGCATTAACATAGGGAGGCCAGTTGCGCGAGTGCTCAAAGTCTCAAGATCCATGGACAAGCTCTGGGTGGATACCTCTATTGAGTGTTTATAATGTGATTATTGTTGCTGAACGTTTGTAATGCCAGTTCCTGTCACTTTTTTCGTGAATGAGTGTGAAATTAAACTGTTAAAGTAGCATCGCCCATATTTTCATGGTAAATTTAGAAGAAACGCAACAAGATGGAACATAGTAAGTAAGGTTTAGTTATATAGCACCTTTCACAGACATCAAGTCACAAAGTGCTTTACAATAAGAGAAAATAGGTAAAAACACATATCAATAAAAAAAAACATAATCAAAGCAAGTTTAAAATGCAAATACAGCAACACAAATTAAACACTACTGTTAATTAAAAGCTTCACCAAACATATGCATCTTTATATGCTTTTTAAATGGTTCAACTTATCCCAGAGTTCTCAGTGCTATCGGGAGAGTTCGAAAGCCTTGGGGCCACAACACAGAAGGCACGGTCACCTTTAAGCCCCGGTCAGATCACACGATTTTTATTGTCGATTACAAAAGTCACTATGTCAGATCATGTGATTTATTCACTTATTTTTATTTTTTATTATTATTATTATAATATACATATATATATATATATATATATATATATATATATATATATATATATATATATATATATATATTTTTTTTTTTTTTCTTTTTTTTTTTTCTTGCTAAAATCTTGACTTGTCGTGGGTAGCAAATGTGCCAGACTACACGTTCCTTCACGGTCAGTCATCCTGTGACGTCTATGACGAGTGTTATTTCCCAAAGCAGTTACATAGCTTGCTATAACAATATATATTTTTTTATCTCATTTTCAAAGTTTATTTTAGTTTTTTATCTTTTTTTTAATCTCAATAAACACTGATGCTTGCAGACGACTAATAACTAGGTTACATTATTTAAGGGCGCTCATTAGGATAGGATCACACTTATAATTCCTTTTTAACAAGGGAGTAGTCACAGGTGTGCTGGTGTCAAAAATAAATGCAGATATAAAGCTTCTATATGCGCTTATAGCCTATTCCGTGCTTAACCGCGTGCAAAAGTCTCGCACCGACTAAAGTAATGATTATGAGTGTGTTGGGGGAAAAGAAAACCTTTTATTAATCTGTTAATATTATAGTGCAGCATTATTCTCAGTCAGTGGCTGAAAATATGAAGATTGCCGACGCTGCAGACATTTTTTTTTGTCAAGAAGCCAGTTCATTGCTGCCACACGCTCTTTCACGGAGGCTGCATGAGGGAAAGCACATCTTGTTTATTTTTTTGATTTTACAAATACGCTACTTTGGTGTTATTGTGTGTACATATATTTCCATGGTTACATTATTTTACTGTGATAAAGTGGAGCATTTCTTGGTAAGTTAATGCTTTATTGTTTAGAAATTAAATTTCATAGTTATACATTTAAAGAATATTCTAACACTTAATTATTCAGGATTTTTTATTGCACCAAAAGTCATTTTAAAGGAACATTTAAAAGTTTGTAAACTTTTAAACTGTTTAATTTGTGTGTAACTGCCTGATGCAAAAAGCTTATTGAAGCCTGCTAAATGCATCATGCAATTTGAAATATATATTTTATCTTTTTTTTTCAAGTTGTATCTAAATATATAACCTAAAATCACCTAAAAACTTAAACTTGGCAGAGTGTGCGTTGCGAACAAAGTGTTTATTAAATGAAAAGTCCGGTGTCTATTGCAGCATTTATTTATATATGTGCATGGTGTAATCAAAACTTCAGAAAATGGCTTGTAAATAAAGGACAAGGACGTAAGCTGTAAGCTTCTCAGTCCAAGGATCCAGTAAGCAAATGCATTCAAATAAGTTCAAAACGTCTCTGATACAGACAGAGAAAGAATATAGATTGTTTGTGCTATTGGAAATAAGTAGGCTGTCATGTGAATGATCAAGGGGCACGTATGATTTGCAGCCCAGTCTGTTCTGTAACGTTAGTATGCAGAGTTGGTGGGGGGGTTTTTTTCACAATATTTTGACAACACATAAGGCTCACCCAGTTTTTCTGATGCCCACACACAGTCTTTTTTCTCGCTACGCTACATGCTTTTTAATATTAAAATATTTTTCTTTGAACTCTAAATGTATATTTTCCTGCCTCGGGTTTCTTAATGAACAACATCCCTCGCCTGAACCTGCTGCAAGAGAGACGGATTATTGAAAGCACATAGCCTAAGCACCAAGGAAAAATCATGTGCTCAGACATAATCTTTAAAATAATGACATTTTTAAAAAATGTGCAAATATAACTGAGATTTTGATACAATTACAGTGATGCTTTCAATTAATCCTCAATTTCCTCACAGCGAAATAAATCATTCACCCGTATAGTTGAGTAGTGGAGGCACAAACAAAAATATAATTATTATTTTTCTTGGAAAAAATGTCGTTTTGAAACAAATTTCGTTTGCTTTTTTTCTTGGTTTTTATATATCTTTTGTTGATCAGTGATTAATAAACAAGAATAATGAATAACAATTGAGGTGATGCGCTTCAAAACAAGTCCGCTTTATAACACTTTCCACAAACACCTTAAAATGTAGTTAAAGCTTGTTGAACCAATGATTGATCTTATTCACCCGTGACCCACGCATAAGTAAGCTATAAATATGCATGTAGCTGATTTTTTTTTTTTTTTTTTTTTTTTTTTTTTTTTTTTTTTTTTTTTTTGATTACCTGACAAGTGCATTAACAGCAACCCCTCAGACTTTTGTTCAGCTTAGGAACGCATATTAAGATATCTTAAATTAAATCTGAGAGTGCCCTTATCCTCCTTTGACAGCAAAGTTTCAGACTCATCAGGCCAAAAAATGCCAACATCATCCTCAAAACAGCACATATGCCTTCAGTGGTTTAATTGGGATATCATGAAGATACGAGAATGCTTTTGTGCACAATTAGATCAATAATAACAACTTTATTCATCAGGTTCTTCTCCGTGTCTGTAAAGGGCACAAATTAACAAAAGCACATTAATTGCTGAAAAACAAAGGAAGAGGATAAGAGAGCTCTCAGATTTCATCTAAAATATCTTCATTTGTATTCTGAAGACAAACAGGTCAAAGGGGTTTAGAGTATTTAATAAAGTCTTTAAAAAATTGTGAACTAACCCTTTAATGATCTTGAATTGCTGCAGATTTGTCATCCAAACATCTATTGTTATTATCATAGGCTTTCACTTTTATTCTTTACGAAACATTTTAGGTTTAGAATTATTTAAAGCCTGAGATGTGCCTTTCTGCATAAAAATCAAATGTAATGAACAGATGACAGATCATTTGCTTTCTTAACTGCAGTTTTTTTACCACTAGTTTTATTTGTGCACTTTTGTTGTTTATAGGTAAATGGCCCACATGTTTACACATTAAACCTAAACGTACATGCTGTTAATAATCAGAAACAACTTTACCCCTAAACCAGGGATACCCAAACCTTATGAAGGGCCAGAAACCGAACTTGATTGAGGCTAGTGGGTCGAGGGCAAATATAGGTGGGGTAATTTACCATTGGTAATTTCCTAATTTCTTTGAGGTTTAAAAATGACCAAAAAACATTGTTTATATTAACTAATGCAGTTTTTTTTTACATTTTATTATGAACTTGTTACTGTAAAAACAAAATAAAATTTATAACAGAATTACAGTTTTTGACTTGAGTTGCTTGCCGATGTCTTCTGCATAGTCCTCTATCCGTCAAGTGACAGTATTCACATTTTAAAAATCTGATTTACAACATTTAATTAAAACATTTCATTTCAGTTTGCTCTTTTGTAGTTCAGCAATAAACCAAGCAAAAAAGGTTACGACAAATTAGAAATGACGATCTCTGTGTTAGAGACTTTCACCCAACCCTCTCCATCATACTCGCTCTCTTCTCAGATGGGATGGAGGGCCAAATCAAAGGTTACAATGGACCAATCTTGGCCTGTGGACACTACTTTGGGCACCTACCCTAAATGAAGTGACTTACCGGGGCCTTAAGCTCACAAAGAATCTCAAACTGATGATTTCTGTTGTGATTGTAGGAATGTGCCAAGAGAATTGCTAAAGTGTCTGCAGAGGCCAAGCTGGAAGTGGACGAGGACAGTTACCTGAACCAGTTCCGTCCGCACCTGATGGATGTGGTCTACACCTGGGCCAATGGCTCTTCTTTCTCTCAGATTTGCAAAATGACAGACGTGTTTGAAGGTAATGGCTCCCAACAAAAACTACTGGATCTGTTTGATTCATTGTGCAATACCTCTAGCTTAAATATCACACATTTTCCAATGTATTTATGATTCAATTTAAACCAGTAATTTTTTTGAAGGCACTTTTTATCCATAGTTCCCAAAAATGGCTTATTTTCGTACCCCATGTTTCCCAGAAATGAACAAATGCAATTAGTTTGGAGAATACGAGGAGTCAGCGATGTTATAGTTGGTCGTGACTTCATAAGTACAGCATGAGGCATGTTTGGAAATGAAAGAGTTTAATTTCTCTTCAGCCTGTCTTCTCCCTGAAGCCTTTTCTCTGGGAATTGGCCTCGTCCACAGCATGACGTGAGCCTCGAAACACCGTGCTCATGTGTTGCTGTCAAGCAAACCCCCAATCTGTCCCTGCTCCAGCTCCTGAGTGAGCTTTTGGCTGTGTTCTTGGACATTAGCAAACTCTGAAACACTTCTAGTAATAAATTGTAACAAGGGAGAGATGTTTTTATGAAAAATACGGATCTTTTTTTCTGACCCCCACCTTCACCTCTGGAATGGTCTTATTAGAGATCTTAAAACCTGATGGCAGTAAAAACCCCTCTGCTGAAAAGGTAAACATTGCTAATACAGCTGGACATTGAAACTGTGGGTTACAAGCATTGGAAATGAGCATATGTGATTGGTATGTAGCGAGCACAGGGAGGACTAACACTTCTCTTTCTCTCTCTCAGGCAGTATTATCCGCTGTATGCGCAGACTGGAGGAGCTCTTAAGGCAGATGTGCCAGGCAGCTAAGGCCATTGGAAACACAGAGTTGGAGAATAAGTTTGCAACCGGTAGGACACTAAACCTTTGCTGATTCAGTTGAACCCCAGTTAAAGAGCCCCGTGCACAGAGTATCCAGTGCTAACATGGCCAGGTTCGATCACTCGATTGGTAAATCTTCTTGGAAGGATCTTGTTGATTGCATTCTGAGAAACTGGATGCAAGATGTAGGATTACAAAAGAAGAGGCAATCTCAGTAATAGAGATGTTTTGTATTTGTTGAGTTGTGGCAGACCTCTATACCTAAGGGAGCATACCTAAATTGTACTTACTTGTTTTGTTAAACCAGATGTAATTCAGGTAGTTATTCATACACGTATCTACATAAAACTGGGCATATTTGACAGACATTAATACATTTTTGGCCAATCCTTTTATATTGTATATTTTTTTTTAATCATGTACACATTATGTATAGGTTTTGCAGAAAATTAAAGCAAACTCATTAGCATGTTGCTTAGCTAATAACATAATTAAGTTATATTATGCTTTAAGCTTTAAAAATACGCTATCAGTTTTAGCATGCTAGGCAAATATATCAAAATTGATATCAGAAGAGTTTGGTATTAGCATGTGTGCTAGCTAAATTACTTAGTATTAGCTAACAATATGTAGACCTAAATTTGATTTCAGTAGAGCGGGATTTTATGGTATTCTTTAGCCAATATCAAAATAAATAATGATTAAAAATCAATTCCAAGTGTTAAACTAGATAAGTGTAAATTTATAGTGTAAGTTTGGATATTAGCATGTTGCTAATCTAATTAAACAGTATTCGATTAGCTAACAAAACTTAATCCTAAATTGGCTCCAATGTTAGTCAAGTGAGCTAATTTTACAGTAGCCTATCCAGTATGTTAACAAACGCATATAATTAAATTAATTCCAGTGGTCGTTGCTTGTTAGCTTTTTGCTAAGTTAATGGCGTGGTATTTGATTAGATAACCAATATTGAATTCAGATTAGTTCACAATAGACATGGGCCGCTATAGGATTTTCACAGCTGTATGATAACCTTGGCTAAAAATATCACGGTTTTGCGGTATTGTGATTACTGCTCTAAAGTTTATCCTTTTTAAATGTCTGGGTAAGGAATGAAAACCTTTTTTTCCTGATCAAAATATATTTTATATTAAGAAACATTTAAAATATTTTAGAGCAGTAAACATGTCAGGCTAAGCTATTCAAATGAATTATAGACTTCTGTTGTGTTCATTAGTTTCAAAACCACAGATGTCTTTACAATTTAAAATGGCATCTCTGGAAATCTTTTCTGCTGGAGATACCGTTGTCCAAAAAAAAAAAATAAAAAAAAAATAAAATAAAATCTCACATGTACCTCAGGAACGGTATAGCAGAAATTTTTGGTGGTTTTAAAACTTTTGCAAACCGCGGTATACCTTAAACCACAGGTGTCAAACTCAGTTACAAAAGGGCCGCAGCTCTGCACAGTTTAGTTCCAACCCTAATTAAACACACCTGATTAAACTAATTGAGTCCTTCAGGCTTTTTGAATCCTACAGGTAAGTGTGCTGGAGCAGGGTTGGAACTAAACTGTGCAGGGCTTCGGCCCTCCAGGAATTGAGTTTGACACCCCTGCCTTAAACGGTTATCGTACCATTCCTAGAACAGAGGTTTATACTTATATGCTGCTAAGCTAATTCTGGAAAAATACAGAAGTTAAAGTTGATTCCATTTTATGAAGCTCTCTGTCGTGAATAAAAAAAAAAATAGCATCTGGCGAATATCAATTGTCAGCCTATTTTTGTATTACTTAAAGTGTTTTCAAACTAAACACATCAGATTTTGGACCAGAGCTTTGTTTTTTTACACTTGGATACTTTTCCAGTTATGTCATTGTTTTGAGGGCTTCATTAAAAAAAAAAACTACTATATTTTTTGTTTTTCCACAGGTATAACGAAGATTAAGAGGGATATCGTGTTTGCTGCAAGTCTATACCTCTAAATCCTAAGACTCCTTTTTTTTGGATGTTATTTTTGCATAAAAACACAGCAGGAGAGCAGAGACATGGAACATAATTGTTTTATTTGTGTTCGTCAACGAGCATAATGGATTTTTGTTTTCGTCATAAAAGCGCAACATTATTGTACATACAATTTTAACAATTTTAATAAAAAAAAGTCTGTATATTGTTTTTCTTCATACAGATAAAAAATTGCTTCTGTGGTGTGGTTTAATAGAGGTACGTTTATATTAGTTTTCAGAGATACACAGGAAGCTGTTGTAGCAGCAGAAGCAGTCCAGCCAAGGCAATGTGGAACAGCGTCCATAAAGAGACCCCGAGAACGGGATCTGGAGAACATTGAAAGCAAGGTTACATTCACAGGTTTCCACCCTAGTGGTCTGGCCTCATAGTGGGTTGCAAGCCGAAATCCCATCCCATCAGTGGAGGTTCCTCAAAGCTTAGTTCGGGTTATCGTAATGATTTCCATTTGTGGGTGTTTCTTGTAAGGTGGTGTGCGGGATCTCTGTCTCTTTCTGTGGTTCCACTTTCTTTTTGAAGAAGTCTGACACAAAGAAAACCTGTGGAAGGTGAGAGAATTGAGTTTCTGTCACAGAGCCTGAACTATCACAAGTGGTTTCATACTTCACAAGTTCATTTAGTGCTTTCTATCACAGCCTGAAATATCACAAACTATCTTTCCACTCAAAAAATGCTAATTAAATTTATGCACAAAACTTAAATATTGCATAAGAGATGTGCGAATAAAGCAGCGTTTCCATACAACAAGTCAAAGAGAGCAAAATCATCACTTCTTGAATAAACGGGCACCAAATATCAGGTATAAAAATGGAATTTGCTGCAGTAGAAGAAGCTGCGTGAATCTTTTCCTTATTTAATAAATGACTGAAGACAAATGCCGACATGCAAGGAACGCATGGTGGTGTTTAAACGTGAGACACGGAGCACAGATGCTCTTAACAGCTATGGAGGTAATCAATAATATATTGACAGGAATACTGAAATGGTTTTGGCATTTACACATTTATCATCACATGATCTCTTGTAACAAAATCACATGACTTTTTATTAATGCGCATACTAGAATTTATTTGGTGAAAGTGTTCCATAGTTTATGGGCATCTTTTCTTATACTGTAGATTAAAGTTTATCCTACTCTGTTATATGCATGTTTTTTTTTTTTATGCACATTTTCAAGATCTATGCGCATCATTGCATTTCCATCAACCATTCTTTTTTATGCCCATATCCAAAATGTTCATAAAAATAGGTGGATAAAAACATGCTTACATGTGGTTTTATTGCTGGTTAATTTAGTGCTTATGGTCACTCTAGTTAATATTTATCACTTACAGAAGAAAAAAAAAACAGGTTTTGTTTCTAGAAACTGAAACGCAATATTTGCTGAATAGCTTTAAAATGTCATTGAAAACATTAAAACAGATTTTAAGTGTAGATTTTAGAGGATTAAGCACAAAAATGTTTTTAAAATACTCTGCTAATACTGAATTTGTGTTCTAATTTCAAACTGTGCTCTAGAAACAAAAGTAAAATAAAATCATTTTGTAAACATAAAATAGCTTTAGCTTGCCAGTGTTTTTTTTTTTTTTTTTTGCCTGCCACTGCTAGAATTTTTGGTGATTTTCCACCTAAATTTGACGGCCCTTAGAATATTGCCCTTATCGCATTTTGCGATGTTTGTGTCTGTGGTCCTTTACTGATGCAGAAAATAGTAGGGGTGTCAAAATGAATCTTTTCTTCGGTGCACTGCGATGCAGACGCGGACAATTCGGTATCGGTTCAGTAATAATTATAACCGGTTATTACTTGCGTCATTTACCTCATATGCGCTCTGTCGCGAGGGAGGCGATCGCGAGTATTTACAACGCTTTGACTACTTAAAACTCATTTTCAAAAAACAATTTCACTGTGTGTGTTTGCTGGATCAGTCTTTCACTGACATATACAACAATAGCCCCTATTTCACTGAGATCGGGAGAATGAAAGTAGCCTTCTCCATTTCTCTCTCTCTCTCTCTCTCTCGCTCTGTCTTTCTCTCTCTTTCTCACACACACACACAGTGGCCCATTTGACCTGCTAGCATGGCTTTTCTTCTCTTCTTGGCTGTTTTACAGCATTACTTTTGCATACAGAAACAAGCATGTCTGCAGAGTTTTCTCCACGGTGTCTATCATACATCAGCTGTGAGATCGCCGCTGCCGCTTATCAGTGTCACTCATCTGTGAAGAGCGCAGCGCGCAAGAGCCAATGGCAACCATTTTTTTGAGGGTGTGACCAATCAAAGGGGTGTAAGAACTAGACAAGGATCAGAAATTGAGCTGGATATTTATATTTGTTTATATTATTTGCTAAATGCTCGTTTTGTTTAAAGTTAGTTTATATATCTGACTGTTTGTATTAAATGACAAAATTGTATTACAAATAGTATATAAATATAAATATATTCATACATTTTAATATAAGAACTGCTGCTGTGAAGAAAATATAAAACTGTGTATGAAAAGCACCGTCAATGCACCGTGATGCACCGAAATATCGAATTGAATCGAATCGATGGCATGATGATCGTAACCGAACCGAACTGTCAGACTAGTTTAGGTTCACAGCTCTAGAAAATAGTGACAAACACCTGTGTGAGTTTATGGAAAATTCTGTCACAAAATGTGGCGAAAATCCTACATGACGGTCATCGCTTGATTGAGGTATTCACATGTCTGTACAGCACTACAATAATGCGATAGAAATCAGCAGGTCTTTGTTCCATTTCTGTTTAGTTCAATTATAACTTTAGTAGAGTTCAATTAATCAACATTTTTTTTAATTGCTGTTTACGTGGTGGACTCCTAATCAGAGTATTGTCTTAATCATATTAAAACCGGATTATTGGTGTCCATGTAAACATACTCTTTGAGCAAGACTTGTACTGCTTATCTCATCCCTTGAGTGTGTGGAAAATGGAGCCAAGTCTTGGCAATTTTTTTATAGCCCAAACAGTTCAAAAAGTATTAAGCTTAGTGCAAGTTTTGGATAAGTGGTGGTGCTAGCAAGAACTGAGACTCCTAATGTGCTGTGGTTAAAGTTTACACCGTCGTCTATTCATATGCCAAATTTCATCACAATCCAAATAATGGTTCTTGAGGCTACCATAGACTCAATAGCAGGAGATTTATTTTAGCTGGGTTTTTCATTCAAATTAGCAGAATCCACACCGACTTCCTGCAAGCAAACATGAACCGTTTATGAAGCCCACTCACCACTAGTAAAGCCACGATGGCTCCTTGGATGAGGCCTGTGAGCACGTCACTCCAGTGGTGTTTGTAGTCTGACACACGGGACAGACCGGTATACACAGAAGCAGCAATCAGGAAGAACTGGAGTGTGGGGCGAAGGAGCCGTGCCCATTCAGCTTGCATTCTTGCTTGAAGGTAAAGCTTTGACAAAGAGAAAGGTGTTAATGCACATGATCATCACCATTGTAGTATATTCACGTTTTTCCGGTTCCCGTTCTACCAAGCATTGCTGATTAAGCAGTGCCTCATTTATTATTCTAGCTAACTCAACTCTAAAATTCTGGCATGACGCATCAAATCTGAGTCAACCACACCACCTACTCATAGGAAACACTTCCTTCAGCAGGAACCAACTTGAGTTTAGTTGGCCAACAGTCTGTCTCTAGATTATGCTTAAATATTAATCATTATGCTATTGCGTTACAGGTCTTGTTGTCAAAATCATTACTCATTTAGAGGTTTGATAGAATGACCCGAGTAGAACGATGGTTTGCAGGCAAAACAAGGTCTGTTTAACTACCATTGCGTGTCGACGCGTGTCTGTGCAACCCTAAAATCAGAGCTGGGATTTGTTTGGCAACTCTGTAAACACAAGTTGATGGGAAGAAATCCCCGTGCTTGGGCAGAGGTTCCTAGAAACGTTCCTAAGTGCGCACAAACTCAATCATTTCTTGGTTGGATTTCTGTGCCTGTAATCTTATCTATATTTTTAAAATAGCTGTGGTTAGGAAAATCGTTTCTATGTCAGTGGTTAGACACTTTTGCAACAAAAAAAAAAATTGTAAATGTTATCTATGCTGATGAACGTTGACCCCGGGTCTGATATGTTTACAGCAGGGTTCAACTGTGCACTAAACTTTAGCTGAATGTCCTTTAAGTTTGTACACTCTTGATAAGATTAAGGCTGGTTGTGTTTGCCAACACGATTTTTTTTTTCTTGACTCAAGAATCAATGCGCAGCACTTTTATTGCAGATAGTGGGTATTTTCCAATGGAAAAGTCAATTGAGTATAAATAAACCATTTCCTGGTCACTCAGAAATGATGGTATTTACTACTATAATAGTTTAGTTTAGATTATAAAGCACCCACTTTGATTTGGTTTAACTGATTATCAAAATACATCAATACAGTATGTGGTACAATAATAGCCTGTATTCACCTTATTCTTCGCCGACGAGTGGGCGCAGCTATTTGAATCTTTTTGGCTCGAGACTTCCGTTCTCATTCACTTCCATTCATTTTTAGACATTAAAAACTGCTTGTTTCGCTGTTTGGTGTTGCAAACTGATATTTTCTTATATTATTCTATTCGGTCTGTATAGTCATGCAAACATTTGTTTGTAGAGCAAGTAGTTTGACAGTTTTCTGGCGTTTATTATTCCTAGTCATTTCTCCTATCGGCAGTTCTAAAACAATCGCGAAAACAGGCACACTTACGCATTTTAGAATAAGGTCAATACACACATCTTGAACAGCTCATCTTAAATGGATCGTTCACAAAAACGTTTTTATTTATTCTCCCACATGTGGTTTTATTTCTCTCTGCATCTTTCTTCTGTTGAACATTTTGGGCTCTATTTTGACGGTCCATGCCCAAAGCGCAAAACGCAGGGCGCAAACGCTTTCAGGGCGTGTCAGGACGCGTTTTTGCTAATTTAAGGATGGGAAATCTGCCTTGCGTTTCGGCGCATGGTCTAAAAGGGTTAAGTTTATTTTCTTAATGAGTTATAGGTGTGTTTTAAGAATAAACCAATTAGAATCTCATCTCCCATTCCCTTTAAGAGTCAGCTGCGTCGCGCCAAGAGCGCATTCGCTATTTACAGGACGCAAAGTAAGTCTAAGTGGAAAAAA